CAAGGTGTTATCATCAACCATTGGACACTGGATCAGGCAGACAATCGCCACGGCATACGACCTGAGATCCTTACCGAGACCTCCTTGTTTGACTGCTCATTCAACCCGAAGTGTAGTGACATTGGCGGCTTGGGCTACGCAAGCCTCTTTGCTCGAGATCTATAGAACGGCTACGTGGACTTCACCTTCTCCCTTCATCCAGCACTACAAGCTGGACAAGTTTGCCTTGGCTGATGCCACCTTTGGACTTAGAGTGCTGCAATGGGTTTATCCTGGGGAGGGTTCTTCGGACCAGTCTGGTCCCACCCATACTTAGGGACAGTGAACTTGGGTTTGACCCATCCTGGCTGCTGTCTCCATCCACAATGGAGAAGGGGTGTTGGTCCTACCTGAGACGCACCTTCTCGTTGGGTGGAGACAGCAGCCAGATCCTCTCTTCTCCAGCCTGGTCCTGCTTCTTATCATTTACCTTTCTTCTTATCTCCCACATGCCGAGTCTGTTTCTTCGTCTTCACCAAAAGCCCCTAGCAACAAGGGCGGGACTTAACAACTATGACAGACTCAGTCCATCAATCTGAACAGATGAGTACAACCCATCCTGGCTGCTGTCTCCACCCAACGAGAAGGTGCGTCTCAGGTAGGACCAATGCCAGTTTTCTTTTGGGTTTAATGGAAAAAGACTTGGAAAAAATATGTTGACGGCAGCAAGACTAATTTACACACAGAAATGGAAGCTCACCTCTATCCCAACAATGGATGAATGGCTGCAAAAATTGATGAGTTAGCAGAGATGGCTAAATTGACTGTTTTGATTAAAGAAAAAAACACAAATATCTTTATTTCTATTGGAAACTGCTTCTGGACTTTGTTCTTGAGGTGAAAAAAAATAAAACTTAGATTTTGGGTTTTACCAATTAGATAATTATACAAATGGCTAATTTATATTATTATGAAAAAGTAAAAAGTTGAGGTTAGATATTAATGCCTTATTTTACTGCACCAAAGGAGTCAGAAGTCAATGCCTTTTTTTTCTTTTCCTCTGGCTTTCCCCACCTATCCCCTTTTCCCTTCCCTAATTTCCCTAATATTTATTTTTGTATTCTCTTTCTAATGTCATGTTATAATATACACTAATAAAAACTATCTATCTATCTATCTATCTATCTATCTATCTATCTATCTATCAACTGATTTACTGAATATCATCTCAGCCCTAAATTATTTATATAAAGGGGTCTGTCTCTCCGTCTGTATGTTCATTTGTTCATATTCATTCCTTGGTATTGGAGCTAAAAAAAATGCAAATTACAGGATGTCCTCGACTTGCAATCATTCTTTTAGTGACCTTTAAAGTTACAATCACACTGAAAAAAGAGATTTATGACCAGTCCTCACACTTACAACCATTGCAGCATCCCTGCAGTCATGTGATCATGATTTGGGCAGTTGGCAATCAGCATGTATTTAAATATAAAGGAGGCAGTGTCCCAGGTCATATTTCTTGCAGCCTACCCAGCTGGGCTTCCAACCAGCAAAGTGAATGGGCGAAACTGGGTTTACTTTGCAACCACGGCAAAAAAAGGGTCATAAAATTGAGTACAGTCATGTGAAGACTCTCTTAACCACCACAGGAACGGAAGTTCCAGTCCCAACTGTGATCATAAATCTTGGACCACCTTGTTGAGTTTTGCAATGTGCCTCTAAAATGTTACCTACACAGATAACAATAAACAATAAACAACAATAAAACTATTTATGCCTATATAATGTGCATTGGATCTTCCCTCTACTAATTCCAGGTAGACCACAATTGAGCCCAAAATTTATCTTGCTAAGTGAGATAGTTGTTAGTAAATTTTGCCCCATTTTGCAACCTTTCTGACCAGAGAAAGTTAGTGACATGGTTGTTAAGTGAATCTGACTTCCCCTGACTTTGCTTGCCAGAAGGTCACAATATGACGACCCCAAGACACTGCAATCGTCATAAGTCATTTGCCAAGCATCTGAATTTTGATCACATGACCACAGTGATGCTGCAATGGTCGTTAAGTGTGAAAAACGATCATGTCACTTTTTTCACTGCCAACATTCGAACAGTCACTAAATGAACTTGTAACTCGAGGATTACCTATACAGACAGGAAAGGGAATAATCTATGGGAAAGAAGGATAATCATCCTTATCTAAGTTATTTTAAAGGTTTGCTGACATAGTCGCCTAACAAGAATATCTGCTGTTTTATGGTAAAATAAATTTTTGTAAGATTGGAGGATTGGACTAGATTGACCTCAAAAGGTTTTTCTCCAGTTTAGAATCTCTTAGTTGTAAGAGGTCAACACTGTTGTTCTGGTCCTTTACTTAAGAGAATAGCTCAATGCTGCCGGGAATCCCCAAAAGAGTAAATAAGGTAGAATAAGGTAGGGGAAATGATTCACAGTGTTCATAATGTTATGTAGACTGTAATTTTTATATTCCTTATATTGTGAGCTGTCGAAAGTCAGTCTGGAGTAGGGCAGTTCCTAAATCAAGCAAGCAAGCAAATAAATAAATAAAATTGGATTCTGGGAACGATAGTGAAGATTCTCAGTCATACAGGTAGAGTTGTCTGGGAGTTGAATCGTGGCAATTGGACTTTTTCTCTTTTTTTGGTTTGAAAGGTTTTACTGCTTTTTCATTTATTATTTAGCATATGGAATCCACAGAAGTCATAAATCCCATTTGAACAAAGCATTAGCAGAGAGAGAGAGAGAGAGAGAGAGAGAGAGAGAGAGAGAGAGAGAGATGATATATGATGTGTACACACATACACACATACACAGACACACACACATATATATATACTGTATAGTGTAATATTAATGCAATATCAGCGGTTTTCAATTCAATTGTATAGAATGTGAAGGATGTGTGTTTGCGTTTTATTTTTATAGTTATAATCAGGGGTGGGTTCTACTTACCTTTACTACTGGTTCGCAACAGGACTGCACATGTGCAGAAGCTTCCTGACGACATCCAGGTTTGTGGGCGGAGCCTCCTGCCAGTTTTACTACCGGTTCTTGCAAATCGGTCAAATCGGCAACCCACCACTGGTTATAATGTACACTGAAGATGGCATTTAATTTCATTGTACAAGGTGCAATGAAAATAAAGTAAGCTAAACGTATATGTATATGTATATATGTATATGTATATGTATATGACATGTGAACAATACAACACAGGACACCCCAGGACACTGCAACTATCATAAATATGAGTCAGTTGCCAAGCATCTGAATTTTGATCACGTGACCAGGGCATACCACAACAATTACAAGTGTGAAAAACGGTCATAAATTACTTTGAAAAAAGTGCCGTTGTAACTTCAAACGGTCACTAAATGAATTCATAATCATAATCATAAGTTTATTTGTCAAGCATATATAAGGTAACAGGTAAAAGTATAAACATAATTTGAATACATGAAAAGAGTAAGTTAAAAAGGAATATTAGGACAGGGACGGTTGGCACGCTGGTGCACTTATGCACCAGCATAAGTGTTAATTGTTATAAATTAAGGACTACCTCTACTGAGGGAAGGATTTTTCACTTTGGCATAAATGGATTCTTTCACTCCTCTCTCAAACCATTTATCTTCCCTCCAAAATCTGAACTTTATTAGGATCATCCGGGAAAGATGAAACCATTATAGAATGGTGTGGTGGACTTTGTGAAAATACCACAAGGGTGTGGTGCCTTCTGAAATTCTAGGATTTGGGGCTCCCAAGCCTCATACATATAATTCCTAGGAAATGTAAAGTGTCAGAACGGGAAAATTATTAAGTACAAGATTGTTAAGAATACACCCTCATTCATAACTGTATTAACTATTGTTTGTTTAGTGTTATTCAAATTAAATAAAATATAGGTTTTGTTTAGGCCTCACCTAAACAAAAGTAGAGAGAACCCTAAGAGACCAAGCTGATCTGGAAAAAAAAAAAAACCCTGTTCCTTTACTGTGTTTGTAAAGAAATCAAATGTTATAAAATGGCTTCTTTCCAAAAGATCTGGATAAGTGCTCCTCCAACACAATTTTTCACAGTTCAAAGTAGTCAGTGGCAGATGTTAAAGTTGCAACCTGGCAGGAATTCATGGAATTGCTGCAATGTTTGGCAACCCATTTGGAGGGAAACCAAAGTCCACTCATTTGAATTCTCAAAAGTTGGCAGAGACTATAATGGTACAACAGTGATGATAACAACTCTATGGGTTATACTGGATCTGAATGAAAATTAATGGAAGGAAACACCAAAGGGGCACATACTACCACATGTGGTGGACGTGCCCCAAAGCAAAACAATATTGGAGTAAAATTAGATTACAATTAGAAGAGATAACTAAACAACATATTGAGATGAAACCGGAAACATTTTTATTAGGAATACTCCCCAGGGTCTTATGAAAAAAAAATACAATATTTAATTATCCATATTATCACAGCAGCAAGAATAATATATGCACAGAATTGGAAAAACAATAACATACCGACCGAAGATAATTTGATTAGAAAAGTTTTGGAATGTGCAGAAATGGATAAATTTACAAAGGAGATAGAAGAAAAAGAGGAAACAGAATATTATATAGTGTGGGAGAAATGGTACGAACGGCTAGCTAAGAGATAAAAGACAAGGAAAGATCAAATAAGGAAGATATAGGAATAGAAATGTAACAACAAATAAGAGGAAACAGAAAAAAATACAGTTTGTAGAAATTAAATTGTGTACAGTTATTTATATGCATATATGTAAATAAATTAATATTAGACTTGTATGTGTACATTGAAATAAGGGAGAAAAAATGGATAAGAAATGTTTAACCTTTGCAAAACTGTTGTTTAAAGAGTCTTTTTTGTTTTTTGAAAAAATGTTTAATAAAAAATATTTTTTTAAAAAAGAAAGAAAATTAATGGAAGTAACCCAAAGGCCTTGGTGATTTTTCTCTAACCCTCCACTTCTCTCCTAGGGAGGGTATGTTCCGACATGGCACAAATGCCCAGCTTTCCTGATTTCTGCACCCTCACTTTTTTTCGCTGCACCTTGAAGAAGTATTTTGTGAAGGTAAGGAAAAGGAAGAAGCCATTGTTTATTGATCTGAGGCATTTCTTTCCCAGTGATCTATTTAGGCAGCACTTTTAGTGTTAGAAGGAGAATGTGCTGAAAGGTTCGCTGAAGGCAAAAGATAACCAGGAATAGCAATAGAAAAGGGAATGGAAGCTGCTAGGTCTCGTTGAGAATATTTGCTCATTGAGTAAATATGATTTTCACTGCATTGTATTTACTTTGCTTCCAAGAGGATCAGGCTAGTTATGTAGGTGAATAGAGTTATTTAAATTGAGACTTCAGCCATCTGTATACAGCTCCAATGCCTCCTTTGGCTGCATAGCATGAGTGGCAAACTTCCCTCTGCTTGTCACTCACCCCTATGTTTCAACATCACTGGCCTACACATGTCTAATCTATTTTTCGTGGCCATGACATTGCAATCTAACATTCTTTATGGCAGGGGCCGAACATTCTCACTACCCCACTCCATCAAAATGCTCCAAGTATTTCACATTTTAATACACCACCAGGATTCCACTGACCCTGAACAAAGAATTACATATTATAACAGGAATATAGAACATTGTTTCACTCATATCTGTTTACTCGGATTCAATGTTATTTACTAAACTTGGACCACTTTCAGCTTTGTGAGGTAGTCCAGACAAGAAGCACACCCAAATCAACTATTTCTACTTTAGTGTAAGGTTACATTAGAAGAATTTTACATTAGTCTGAATGCGCATTTCTTCCTCATCATCTTTACAGCCCTAGAAGCTAGGGAGGGATCCTCCCGCATTCTTGTTTAGGACTACATGTATTTTATCCAACTGATCCCCTTGCTATGGCTCATCTTCTTTCTCCCAAGGTCATTCTCACATAGCATTACAGTCACTCTGGATACATGGACTCAGCTTCCCAGAATTCTCAGCACTGACCATTCTATAGAAAACCATATATCTGCCTTTTCCACCCTACACATGAGTTTAAGGGCAGCATGGTGGCTCAGCGGTTAAAATGCTGGGCTTGTCAGCTGGAAAACTGACAGCCCACGTTTCAAACATGAGCGTCATGTGATGGGATGAGCTCCTGTCCTCACCCCAGCTTCTGCTAACCTAGCATTTTGAAAGCATGCAAATGTGAGTAGATAAATAGGTACTACTTCATTGGGAAGGTCAGCGCTTCATGACATCATGCTGATCAGATGACCGAGGAAATGTCTTTGGACAGTTCTGGCTCAGTGGCCTTGAAACAGAGATGAGCACTGCCCCCTATATAGTCAGTAACAACTAGCGGAGTAAAATATGCAGGGGCTCTTTTACCTTCACACGAGTAGGGGCCTTATGTTTCAGAATTCTGGATCAGTATCATTATTGGCCATTGTACTCTCTCTTCCTTGGAATCACCAATGTGGAGAAGCTGACCTTAGGTCAGGGGTGTCAAACTGGTGGCCCGCGAGCATCACGCGCAGGCCACACCCACCCCAGCTCCGCAAAGGGAAAAAATGTCATGATACGTCACAGCAACGTGACGCGGCAAGTTTGACACCCGTGCTCTAGGCCCTCTTGAAAAATGTCAGAAACCAAGCTTATAATTGAATGCGTACAGAATATAGGCTGTACAGCAGTGTTTCCACCTGGCATCATCACATTTGCAGTCAGGAGAAGATGCCAGTTTCTACATCACTGGCCTCCAAGGTGATTCTCTCCATGCTATACATAAGCATCACTTTCTGCTCATGGGGAACGAATCCAAGTCCCCATTTATTACCAAAGGCAAAGCAGCTTTACGAATGACAAAGGTTTAGGGAAATCTGTGGGGTGTGTTTTTTTCTGAGAGAGAAGGGAAGAAATAAGGGAAGGACGGACAACCAAAGGTCAGATCAGCCATATCGTTAAGTGAAGCAAGGTAGCCATCTGCCTTGAGGTTAAGTCTTGGCATGCCATTAAGGAGAATGCTAGAGGTGAAATTGTCTATGGCATTCACTTTGGCATCAATTTCAAAAAAATTAGTAGCAGCTTTCCTGAATCCGTTGTTATGATCTTACGTGTGTGTGTGTGTGTGTGTGTGTACCCGCACATACACATCGACCAGCTGTCCTGCATTTTCAGTTTGCATTGGAAAAAAAGCTTTTATTGGCACTAATAGAAGTTTTCCTCTTGAGGCACATTACCATCGTCTTTCAAATATTATATTGTACAAAGACTAATGAGATTATTACCGTACCTAATTTGGTTCCAATAAGCGGAAAAATGTTTTTTAAAAATATTAAAGAAAAAAAAGATCAATAGAAAGTACTGCAAGCCCCAACTTGTCTTGGTCATCCCCTTGAGGACTATTCCAGACTCCACATTTTATTTATGGCAGAAGTCCTCCGTTTTGAAAAGCTGTGTAGTTCAGTCAGGAAAGTATCCTCCAGCACAGTACATAAATGGTACCTTGTGAGTTCCTGCCTTTTAATTGTTACTGGAAACAGGTGGGGACCTGAATCAGTTAACAGTTTGCCTCATGAGTGGAGGAAGGGAAATGCTTGACAGCCCGGGAGTGAAGGAACAGCACAATCAGAAGTACTTGACATTTCTGGACAAAGCACTTTAGAAACCCTCTAGAGATGTCAAAGCACAGTCTTCTCTCATGCAGAAGAAAATGAGAGAAATGATAGCTTAGAAAAATCATAGCAACCAAAGGTGTGATTTCTGCTTTGCATTATTCCCCCTGTGTAGCGGATTCGGTGTCCAGATGAGATCGGTGAAACATCTTCAACACCACAAAACACCAATCAAGAACTTGAAAATACTGAATCATCATCTACCCTACAAGAGACGCCACTTATCAGCATTCCCCTTACCACTCTCTATACCACCAAGCCATCTCCTCCGCCTCTCACCTCTGTATCAAACACTCCCACAGCAGCAACAGAAACCATCACAACCGTTTCCGACACTACCATTGGAACCATTCCTAAACATCCCAGTGTTATTTCTGATATTACTTCCATGAAGCTTTTGCTTGATCTGCCCACCTCTTCCACTCCTGTCACAACTGACTCAGAATCCTTGCTTGAGCTTCTCACCAGCCTTGATGCAGTGATAGCCGGGCAAAGCTTTCCCGAATTGTTTACCACCAAACTTAACATGGCAGAGGGGTCTTTTTCCCAGCACCTTATGACTGATGTGCTTTCTCTGACTCCTATTCCTACGCTTCCTTCTACTTCCAATGCTATGACAGCTACCCCAGTTATTTCTGTATCAGTTGTCCCTGAATCCTCCTCTGAGCCTACCATCCTTGAAGTCACCACACCATCAGTGGGCTGGGGGACTTTTTTAGAAGTCTTTGTGCAGGAGGGAAAGGAAAAGGAACTTCCCTCTTTAGAAAAACTAGATCACGTGGCAGGATGGCTTCAAAGAAGCAGGAAGGGAAGGCAACAGGGGGGGATCCCCCACACATAAACATGAAACGCAACTTCCCCCTGCTCAGCAGTTACAGACTCAGAAAAAGAATTTGATGTGGGAGATTTAAAAGAATTTATTTCTAAAACTTTGGATGATAAATTTCAAAAATCTCAACAGGAGATAGATGATAAACTTCAAAAATCACATCAGGGGATAGATGATAAACTTCAAAAATCACACCAGGAATTTATGCAGGAAATTAATGAAGTTAAAGATATGGTGAAACAGAATCAAAACAAGGTGACCAAAAAAATATCAGAAGTGGCATCTGGCCTGGCAGAATTTATTGGGAAAGTTGATTTTAAAGTTGAAGAATTTAAATCAGAAGTTAATGTTAAGATGAAAGACAATGATTATAAAATTGCTGATGTTGACAATAAAATGCAGAGAGTTGAAGACGAGATTGTCATGATACAATTCAGGGCAATGGAGTTTGCTATACGGCTTCGAGGAATTCGAGAGGAGGAAAGACAGGATTTGAGACAAGTCTGTTCTGAGGCCCTGGCTAAGATTTTACAAGTTAATCCAGATGTGGTTTTTCACAAAATAGACAAAATTTACAGAGTGAACTCTTGGGTGGCCAGACAAAGACAATTACCTAGAGATGTAGTCATATATTTTACAGATAGAGAAATAAGAAATGATATCCTGCAAAAATCCTTTTACACTTCCGTACAAGTGGGGGCTCACGAATTGGAATTTATAAAGAATTACCTCCTAAAATGCTGAAAGCTAGAAAAGAAATTTGGTTTTCTCGTTAAGGAATTGCAAAATTTACAGATATCTTTCCGGTGGGACGCACCAGTTGGCATAATTTTCAGATACAAGGGAGAAAGATACCGTTTGAATACCGTGGAGAAGGCACAGCACTTTTACACTACTATTCTCAAGGAAAGAACACCATCTCCACGTACATCTACAGTTTTGGAGATTAAAGAGAGTGAAGAGAAGCAACCTCAACGAGAACTGCAATAACAGTCTAAGCAGGAATTAGAAGAAGTGCAAGGTGCAGAAGGAGGTTTTCTGGATGAGCCCTTGCTGGAATCTTCTACAATCTTGGACCCGGTTCGGATGATTGAAGTTAAGGATCAACGTATAACTCGAGCTCAAGCTAAGTTACTTAAACAAACGCAACAACAACAACAGGAAAGACAAGACAAGGAGGCAGATAAGAGTACTGCACAAGAGATTGGAGCTATGGGAGGAGCGAGATCGAAGCTTTCGGATGATCTTCAATTATTTTGCTCTTTGCTCCAGAAAGAGGCTGATGATGCGTAAGTGTTTATCCTGGAATGTTAATGGGTTGAATTCAGCACAGAAAAGGAAGAAATTATTTACATACTTGAAACAATTTAATAATGATATAATTTGTTTACAAGAAACGCATATCACAATTCAAGATCAAAAATATTTGATAAACTCCAAACTAGGAACACATTTTATATCTTCAACTTCGCAAAAAAAGAATGGTGTGGTAATTTATGTAAATAAAAAGTTAACAGCTAAAGTTATAGAAACAGATGAAGATGGTAGGTTTGTAGCAATTGAATTGTCTACCGCAAATGGCCAAATTCTTCTGATTGGGATTTATGCTCCCAATCAACAACAGGACTATTTCTATAAGATGTTACATACTAAAATATTGCAATGGGATTACAGATCTATTTTAATTATGGGAGACTGGAATGGAGTATTCGATTCTAAATTAGATAAAAAGAGTTTGGCAAAGTCTAGAATCAGATTACCACAGACCTTTTTTGACATGAAAGAAGATATGGAACTAAAAGATGTTTGGAGAATACATAATCCAAAAGAACTGGACTATACCTTTTTTTCTGACAGACACAGATCCTTCTCTAGAATTGACTTTATTTTGTTGACAGATGATTTACTTGTTAAGACAAAAAGAACAAAGATTTTTCCAAGAACTTTGACTGACCATAGCCCAGTATGGATAGAAATTGAGATGGACAAGGTTGAGAGACGTTCTTGGAGATTAAATGAGAATTTGTTTAGATATGAAAAAAATATAACAGAACTTAAAAAGCATTTGAAAGAATTTTTTGAAATAAATTTGAATAAAGGTACCCCAATTGAAATTGTGTGGGATGCAAGTAAAGCTTATATGAGAGGGGTACTTATCTACATGAACTCTAAACATAGACTGTTCCGACAAAAGAAAAGATCTGAACTGGAAATAGAAATAAAGAATAAAGAACAGTTACTTATTAAAAATCCAACAGATGAAAGAATACGTAGTGCTATAAAACTTTTGAAAGACCAATTTCAAATGCTTATGGCGGAACAAGTTGCAACAAACTTACAATATGCGAAGCATAACACATTTTGTAACGCTAATAAACCGGGCAGATGGTTGGCTTACACATTGAGGAAAAAACAAAGTATACGGACTATTGATAGTATTGATATTGGAGGGAAAGAAATCTTTCAACAAAAATTAATTAAAGAAGCTTTTGTGGACTATTATACTAAATTATATGCTAAAGAGGAGGTGCAGAATGGACTTATAGAAAAATATTTAAACGATAAAAGAGTTACAAAAATTACTGATCAACAAAAGGAAAGAATGAATTATCCTATAACAGAGGAGGAGATAATAGTAGCAATTAAACAGTTAAAAACAGCCAAAGCTCCTGGCACGGATGGCTTGACTGCAGTGTATTATAAAACTTTGCAAGCTGAAATGGTGGAACAACTTAGAGATTTATTTTGCAATATTCAGCAAGGGGGTAAAATACCCCCATCATGGACAACAGCTTACATATCTTTGATACCAAAAGAACAAATCGGTCCTAAAAAACCAGAGAACTATAGACCAATATCTCTTTTGAATACAGATTATAAAATTTTTGCGAAAGTACTAGCCAACAGGTTGATGCCAGTAATTCAGAAGGTGATTCATGATGATCAAGCGGGATTTATCGAGGGCAGATATATGAAGGACAATGTAAGGCAAGTAATAGATTTATTGGAATATCTTGAGAAGAATAAACAGATCCCTGCAGTGCTGGTCTTCTTGGATGCAGAGAAGGCCTTTGACAGAGTGGATTGGAATTTTCTATTAAAGACTTTGAAAAAGATGGACTTTGGGGATCAATTTATACAGGCGATTTCGGCAATTTATCAAGAGCAAAAGGCACAGATCATTATTAATGGAAGTCTGACAACAGAGTTTAAAATTGAAAAAGGAACAAGACAGGGATGTCCGTTGTCCCCACTTTTATTTATTTTAACACTAGAAGTCTTGCTAAATACAATACGGGACTCTAATATCTTGAAAGGTATAAAGATTAGGCAAGAGGATTACAGAATAAAGGCATTTGCAGACAATCTGGTTGTTACCCTATCACAACCAATGGAATCAATAATCTTGATGAAGGACATTATACAAGACTATGGTAAAGTTTCAGGTTTTAGATTGAATCCAAAAAAGACTAAAATGATAGCTAAAAACATGACACAAGATCGTAAACATGAGCTTGAAAGGAGGGCAGGTTTTGAGACTGTACCTAAGGTAAAATATCTAGGAGTTCAGGTTGCAGAATCAAATATGAAATTGTTTCAAAATAACTATGAGGTGTTGTGGCGAGAGGTGCAGAAAGATATGGAGACTTGGAAAAAACTGCAGCTGTCTCTACTTGGAAGAATAGCAGCAGTTAAGATGAATATTTTGCCAAGATTTCTTTTTTTGTTTCAAATGATTCTGGTGCTTAAAAGTGATAAACAATTGAAAGTTTGGCAATCTGGAGTGAATAAGTTTGTCTGGAACGAGAAGAAGCTGAGAGTGAAATTGAAAATTATGCAAGATGTTCCAGAAAGAGGAGGTCTTAAACTTCCAAACCTACAGCTATATTATGATGTAGCAGCTTTAACTTTAACAAGTGATTGGTTTGGAAGGAAAAAGACTGGAATATTGAATGCAGAAAGTTTTGATCTTGAATTTGGATGGCATGCTTACTTATTTTACGACGACAAAGTAGATAAAGTATTTAAAAGTCATATACTTAGAGATTCTTTGATGAGAGTTTGGAAGAAGCACCGACTCAAATGGGATTATAAAATACCGCTATGGCTGGATCTTGGTCATACTTTGTGGAATACAAATATAATGTCACTCGGGGGGTTTTTATATAAAGAGGTTCTTTTTACAGATGCGGGCAGATGGCAGCTGAAGACATTGCAGACACTGTTGGACGAAGGGATTAATTTAACTTGGCTACAATATAATCAATTACAATTGAGATGGAAAGAGGACCAAAAAACTGGTATTATGTTGCATGAGGAAGAATTGGTTAGACATATAAGAGAGAAAGGTCCAATGCATATCAAAAGGCTTTATAATGTTTTGCTAGAAAGAGATTCAGAAACCGAATTAGTTAAAGACTGTATGATTAAGTGGGCACAGAATTTTGAAGAACCAGTGATGCTGGAAACATGGGAAAAAATTTGGGTCCAGAATGTTAAATTTACACAGTCGCAGAATCTGACGGAAAATTTCTACAAAATGTTTTATAGATGGCATTTAGATCCCAAAAAGTTGTCATGTATGTACCCTAATGTTCAGCCAAAATGTTGGAGATGTGAATGTTTGGATGCTACGTATTATCATGTTTGGTGGACCTGTAGGAAAGTTAAGGCTTTTTGGATAAAAATTTGGTGGGTCATGCAGAATGTTTTGAAGAAAAAAATTCAATTTTCTCCACAATTGTTTTTATTGGGTATAGTTAAGGGTTTTACATTGGGTGAAACAAAATTGATATTGTATATGATAACAGCAGCAAGATTGTTGATAGGTAAATATTGGAAGAATGAAGCCTTGCCCACTATTGAGGAATGGACTTTGAAGATGGCTAGTTTTGCAGAGATGGCGAAGATTTCAGCATATTTAAAAGACTGTTCACAAGAGACTTATGAGTGGGAATGGAAAAGGTGGATAGAATACATTCAGAACAAATATCAAACTAGAAAGTATCAAATAGCTTTTATTTGAAAATAATGTATTGGAAATTTTTTAATGTAATGAGGTAAAGAGAAAAATTATACAGGGGAGGGAGGGGTTCAAGTTTATATATAAGTGTTATATTAGGGTTCTTTATGAGTATGAGTATATTATAGGGAAGTCTGGGGGGAGGGGAGGGTTAGGGAGGGTTAGGGAGGTTGGGAAGTTTGGGGGGGGTGGGGGGGGAAAAGGGGTGAAAATGTAATTGTAAAACTTTTGCAATAAAAAAAAAAAAGAAAGTTCTCCTTAGTTCTAGATTGGTTCTCTCCTATTTTTGCTAAGCTTTAACTAAGGTGGAGACAAGAGCCTTGACAGTGTCAATGGAGCTCGACGGAGAAAGTGGACTTAACCTTCTTGGAAACTTGCCCAGCCAGTCACAGTACAAAGCATAAAGGAGGGCAGCAGCTCCATGGAACTTGGCAGGCATACAGGCCTCACTGCTGGACTATAGATCAGAGGTGTTTGCAGTTGGACGAGGGCAATATCAGAATCATAACTTGCGACATCAAAGGCCGGGTGCACCGTAATGCTCTCGACTCTTCTCACCTGCATCAAGAGAACGAAATCAATAGAATCAGTATTCAGTCTTTTTCACTCAGTAGTAGCCATTTAGCAGGGGGGATAGGGAGTGGACGAGGAGGGGAAATATCAGTTTAGTTACAAATTACATTTTTAGCCAACATCTCTTTGTAAAATAATCAGCAACTTCCTCGACGGGGCTCTCCCTAATCAATAAATGTTCCTGCAGCAAGAATTGTTTCTATCTTCTTCTTTTTTTTAGGCTGTAGCAAACACTGAATTAAGATAAGAGCTGCCAGCACCACTATTGTAGTGCTGCCTTTGGCTGATAAGCAATGAACCTCCTTATTTTAGCCCACATTTGATATAAATTGGCCATCTTTCATTCTTGCTGCAACGTAATTCCTTCTTCTTCCTGCCAGCATCCCCATCTGAACAAATATACCACAAAATATGCCCTTTCCTTTCGCTAACACTTCCGTTCTGCCATTTTGGACAAAGCTCTTAAATGTATATATATACAGTATATTTTAATTTACTGCTTGGGTTGTTGACCCAAAACACTAAGCCAGAAAGTTTTTAAACCAAGATTTGTTGCCCAAGCTAGAATCAGTTTCAACCAGGGTCATTTCTCCCCCCCCCCCGCCCCCAAAATAGTTTAGATGTAAAAATCATGGTTTATTTTTCCAAGACAAATGAAAAAAATGTGGTTAAATCAAATCAGCATTTTTAAAAAACAAACTAAGTTTCAAATTGTGCTTTGCTATCGAATCCCCATGAATTAGCAAAACATGTGGAGACTAAAATCTCTGGGGATTTTAGAGCTGGAATGACTTACTTGCAGTCCTTAAGCCAACCCAAAAACAATTACTACCAACCTGCCTTCCATTGAGGACCTGTATACTGCACGAGTCAAAAAGTGGGCTGTGAAAATATCTACAGAGCCCTCACATCCTGGACATAAACTGTTTCAACTCCTATCCTCAAAACGACGCTATAGAGCACTGCACACCAAGACAACTAGACACAAGAACAGTTTTTTCCCGAACACCATCACTCTGCTAAACAAATAATTCCCTCAACACTGTCAAACGATTCACATTAGGCTGCATTACTATTGCTATTGGTCCTCTCATTGTACCTGTCACCCATCTCCTCCCACTTGTGACTGCATGACTGTAATTTTGTTGCTTGTATCCTTGCGATTTATATTGATTGTTTCCTAGTATGATTTGATTGCTTATTGTACCGTATGACTGTCACTGGGTGTTGTGCCTTGTGATTCTTGATGAGTGTATCTTGTCTTTTTATGTACACTGAGAGCATATGCACCAAAGACAAATTCCTTGTGTGTCCAATCACACTTGGCTAATAAAGAATTCTATTCTATTCTTTAAAAAAAACTTCATATAGCCTTCAGTATAATGATAAATGATCAGTTCAGGATACAATCAGTTTGGGCTTTCGGCAAGAACAATTTATGCCATCCTCACCAAATGACCAAAGAGAAAGAAGAAAGAAATGAGTATTCCAATCCACTTCTCTTTCTGCCTTTTTCTGCCTTCTTGGCAGATGACTTCACTCCAGAGTTCCTCCTCTTGTCTGTAGGAGATGAGCAGGCTAAATTGGATGGTGGGATTAAATTTGTCATCAGTTTGGAATCATTGTGCAGCTATAAGAGATCCAAGTCCAGCCTCTGTGAATTTCACTGACCCTTATCTAGCATCACTTTAGCTTTGACCATTAATCGACCATATTCTTGTATATAAGGTAAAGGTAAAAGTTCCCCTCGCACATATGTGCTAGTCGTTCCTAACTCTAGGGGGTGATGCTCATCTCCGTTTCAAAGCCGAAGAGCCAGTGCTGTCCGAAGACGTCTCCGTGGTCATGTGGCTGGCATGACTAAACACCAAAGCAGTGGTGAAATGTAAATTTTGTTACTACCGGTTCTGTGGACGTGGCTTGGGGGGGTAATATGATTGAGTGAGCGTGGCCAACTTTTTTTTTTTTAACTTTTAAAACCATTGTTTAAAAAATGCTTTTAAAGCCTCTGACGATCCCAGCTGACTTGCCTGATCGGCAGAGGCTTTGTTTTTACTTTTAAAAGCATTTTTTCAATAACCTCTTCTGCCGAAGAGGTTGTAGAAAAAATGCTTTTAAATTTTTTTTAAAAAAAGCCTCTGATGATTGCGCAGCTCAGGTGGGCAATGGGGGGGGGCAGGGATTTTTGCTACTGGTTCTCCAAAGCACCCGCCTCTATCGCTACTGGGTCGGGCAATCCGGTCCGAACCAGGAGCATTTCACCCCTGCGCCAAAGGTGCACAGAACGCTGTTACCTTCCCACCAAAGGTGATCCCTATTTTTCTACTTGCATTTTTTATGTGCTTTCAAACTGCTAGGTTGGCAGAAGCTGGGATAAGTAATGGGAGCTCATCCCGTTACGCAGCACTAGGAATTCGAACCGCTGAACTGCCGACCTTTTGATCAACAAGCTCAGTGTCTTAGCCACTGAGCCACCGTGTCCTTTGTATATAGGTAGCAATAATAAACTCTTCAGTGCTTTGAACCCAGCAAGTGTTCCTGGTTCTTTGCACCTGACATTGTCAGGCCTACAAGATAGCACAAATTAAGAAACTTAAGAATTACCTTTATTTTAAAAGCTATAGTTACAGAATCTTGCAACATTGAATACATCCTTTATATTTGTGTGAACTAGGGAGGGGTTTGTCTGAGATGTTTTCTCAATCTGCTTTCTTAGCCTGGGCTTATTCTCTACTTATTTGATTCTTGCCTTGGTAGCAGTTCTTCATCCATTTTATTTTCTGTGTAAACAAATCTACATGTAGTCCTTGCTGAGGGACCACGATTGGAACCAGCGGATCTGTCATTAAGTGAAACAGTTATTAAGAGGAAAATCACTTGACCATGACTAGGCTTCCCTTTCCTCACTCCCCTACTTTTTAGAATACACACCCCAGTGGTACTGGGATAGTTGGCTCAAAAAAGACAAGACTAATCAATTTCACACCTTCAGTTTTGGTTAAGCATTCCCTTGCCCCTTGAAATGCTCACTCTGGCACTGATATAATTAGCAAGAAGGAAACTAATGTTTTACTTACATACATTGGAGAGGACAGGATTAGAAAAGAGTAAGCAGGCAGACAATGGAGAATACACATCAAAAGAAAGTGATGGCACCATCAACTAGGACAGGTATCTGCAACCTGCGGCTCCGGAGCCACATGCGGCTCTTTGGGCCCTCTGCTGTGGCTCCCTGATGGATGATCCCACCCCTCGCCCTCCCCTCTCAGTCACTCCTCACCTGGCCTGAGAAGGTAAGGGCGACAGCAGGGGATGGAGAAGCAGCCGGGGCAGAGACAAAGAGATACAGAGAGGGGGGGAGAGAGAGGGAGATGTCAAAAGGGTTTTGTGGTTCCCGTTGTTTTTTAACAACCGGTTCTCTGCCCTAATGACCAGCTGGGTAGGTGTGGCTGGGGGGGTCATGTGACTGGTGAAAGTGAATGATGTCAAGTTGGCCACGCCCACCAAGGTTTTGTGGCTCCCGGTGTTTTCTTTTCTGTGGGAAACGGGTCCAAATGGCTCTTTGAGTGTTTAAGGTTGCAGATCCCTGACCTAGGAACTAGGCCTAGGAACCATGAGTGCACTATGCAAACAGCTCAGGGTATTCCCCATTGTCTTCCTGCTTACTCTCTTGTAATCCCTTCTTCTCCAATCTCTTTGTTCTGCAGGTGGGTGGTGAAGATGGAAATGTATCAGACACAGTAAAGATTACCTACAGAGATTGCATGGTGGGTTTTTTTTTTTCTGTTTTCTTTTGTTTTTCTCCTCACTAATTTAAGAATAATGCAAGAATTTTCCCAGTCATACCTGAAGATGCCGAATAGGGGCTGAACCAAGGACCGTAAGTGCATAAAACAGGTGTGGAAAAAGGAACATAAAACTAAGTTTGTCTCTACCTGCTCAGCAGCTTCTTTCAGTATTCTGTCATGGTTTCCAGCAACAACAGTCCAATATGATGGATTATTTGTTCTAAAAAAGGAAGTGCTCCATTGCTGTTAAATCATGTTTTTATGTAACTGAAAAATGTCAACAAAATATATTTTAACTTTCAATTTAACTTCTTTAACTTTTGAATTTAATTTGTTCCTGCAACAAATCCCAGGAATGTTTGCGGGAAAGCGGAGATGTCTTCATTATATTGATACCCACTCTGCAGAATAAATTAAATTGCAGAGACAATCCAACATGTTTCAGGACCCTGCAGGAACTGAAGCATAATAGCATTCTTCCCAGGTCTAAATTCAATCTTACCTACTTTATTCCAAATAAACAGAGTCTACGGAAGGCTACTTTGCCTGGCTTAACATCTTACATCTGTACTTACATCGTTACACAATGAGCGGCTGTGAGCACCCAAATCGAGTTGATGATGGCACCTTCGCACCTATAATCTCCCAGAAAGTGCAAACTCACATGCCAGGGCCAGCAGTGGGGACAAGCTTCTTCTCCCCCAATGATGAGTGTTGACAGTCTCTGAGGACCAAAGGGTGGGAAACCACAGATATCTGCAGCAAGAGGAGGAGAAGAGGAACCAAATGCTAGAGGACATCCAAGAGAGTTCAATAATGCATTGACTGGCAGGTGAAGTTTCAAGTTTTTTATAATCACCATTTGTCCTCCCATAGATCGAAAACATGTGTGTATGTTCATATGATAATGTAAACATGTATGCATACATAGTGGTGGGATCCTCCCGGTTTAACAATCGGTTCGGTGATCGCGCAATTTGCTGATTGTCGGAACTAGAATCCCACCCCTGTGCATACATACATATGCTTCTCTGGTATACATCTTCCTAGTACTAATATTCTAAAATCCAAAACACATTTTGCATTTAACAACACATATCAGACTTAAAGCATCCAGGCTTAGCTACCGTATTTTTCGGAGTATAAGATGCACCTTTCCCCCCCCCCAAGTGCGTCTTATACACCATATGTAGCCCCACCCACCCACTAGTCCCCACCCTTTGACCTCTGCCTCCCAGCAGTTACCGCCTTGCAAGCAAACAGCAAGAAAAAAAACAGCTCCTTTCAGCTTCAGCACAGCCTAATATAATAATAATAATAATAATAATAATAATAATAATAATAATAATAATTTTATTTCTATACCGCCCTTCTCCCGAAGGACTCAGGGCGGTGTACAGCCTATTTAAAAACACAGACAAAACAATGATATAAAATTTAAAATAATTAAACAAGTGGCTCAAATTTAAAACCCCAATAAATTTAAATACCCCAATTTAAAACTATTGTGTTGATAGTCCGGCCTGGCGGAACAACAGGGTCTTCAATGCGCAGCGAAACACCCGGAGGTCGGAGATCTTACGAATTTCCGGGGGCAGTTCATTCCACAGGGCTGGGGCTTCCACAGAGAAGGCCCTCCCCCTGGGCGTCGCCAGCCGACATAACTTGGCTGATGGCACCCTGAGGAGACCCTCTCTGTGGGAACGAACTGGTCGGTGGGAGGCTATTGGTGGCAGAAGACAGTCTCGGAGGTACCCGGGTCCTATGCCATGGAGCGCTTTAAAGGTGGTAACCAACACCTTGAATCGCACCCGGAAGACCACCGGGAGCCAGTGCAGCTCGCGCAGGAGGGGTGTCACATGGGCATAACGGGTTGCGCCCATAACCACCCGCGCGGCCACATTCTGGACCAGTTGGAGCCTCCGAGTGCTCTTCAAGGGGAGCCCCATGTAGAGAGCATTACAATAGTCCAACCGGGAAGTAACAAGGGCATGAGTGACCGTGCGCAGGGCATCCCGATCCAGAAAGGGCTGCAACTGGCGAATCAGGCGAACCTGATAAAAGGCCCCCCTGGCCACGGCTGTCATATGCTCTTCTAAAGACAGCCGCGTGTCCAGGAGGACACCCAGATTGCGAGCCCTCTCCGTGGGGGGCAAAGATTCACCCCCAATAGTCAGCGATGGCACCTGCTGACTATATCGGGGCGCCGGAAGCCACAGCCACTCGGTCTTGGAGGAGTTGAGTCTGAGCCTGTTCCTCCCCATCCAGACCCGCACGGCCTCCAGGCAGCGGGACATCACATCAAGGGCATCGTTGGGGTGGTCTGGGGTGGAGATTAGCACAAGTTGATTGGATTGGCCTCCCGACTCTCGGCTGATTTGTTCTCAGCTGTTTTGAACTTTGCTGCTTGCTGCAAAGAGGTAAATTGCTGGAGCAGATTTTTTTTCCCTTGTGCTAATCAAGCTATGCTGAAAACGAAAATGAAAGTAAAGCAGGCTGTTTGCTATTTGCTGCAAGGAGGCAAAATTGCTCAGAGGCAGAGACAGATTTCTTTTTCTTCTTTTCCTCACCAAAAAAGGTAGGTGCATCTTATAGTCCAGTGTGTCTTATACTCCGAAAAATACGGTACTTTTTGTCCATACAAAACTTAAAGTGCCTTAGAATTTCTCTAGCAGTCTTTGCCAAATGCAAAAATGAAGCATTTCAAATGGAACCATTACAGCCACTGCACGTTTTATGCTCCTAGTGGGCAACAATGGAATCCATAAACCTTCAGGCATGAGAGAACAGACAGCTCAAATGGGAATATTTCCAGACAGACAAATTTTGGCCTTATCTGTCAAAAGATATCGTAAAGTTAATTACTCTTTTTTTCCCCTCCTTAATAGCTTCTTTATATGCACAGAAGACAGCAATAATTATAGGAAGATTCAGCAGAGTTAGAAGAGGAAGTGTTACACTAAAAGCCTAACCTGGAGTTTTCCCAATTCCCGTATCATTTTATGAATGAATTAAGCAGACTGTTGTTACAATAACAATACTGTCTGGAAATGCCTAAGTCAAATTAAAGGTAAGACTGCTGGGCTTTAGTAATCCACCCCTTTTCATATTCAGGTTGTTTCCTAGGAAATCCAAGAGTGGAGCTATTATTAATCCTCGAAGAGCTTACCCAATGGGATATCTTTTGGTTCAAAAGCAGATATAGAAAGCAGACCTTCATATTCAGCTTTAGATGTTGCTGTAATAAAGTAATGAAGTTTTAGTTCAGCAAAAAGTTATTTCTCAACCATTCAACACAAAAAGATCCAGTTTAGTATTCATTGCTCCACTCATAGAACTTATTCCTATTTTTCTGATTCTCTCTTCTCTGGGATCTTTCCCCAACATACATACATACATACATACATACATACATACATACATACATACATACCAGTGGTGCATTTCAAAAATGTATACTACCAGTTCTGTGGGTGTGGCTTGGTGGGCGTGGCTTGGTGGGCGTGGCAGGGGAAGGATACTGTAAAATCTCCATTCCCATCCAGGGGAAGGTTACTGCAAAATCCCCACTTCCTCCCGATCAGCTGGGACTCCAGAAGCAGAGAATAGATGGGGGCAGGGCCAGTCAGAATTTTTACTACCGGTTCTCCGAACTACTCAAAATTTCCGCTACCAGTTCTCCAGAACTGGTCAGAACCTGCTGAAACCCACCTCTGATACATACATTATCTTTCTTAGAGACTTAGAGTAACTTTATTGTCACTTTGAATGTACACTAATTGGCATACATTAAAATGAAATTTCATTGCATGCAGCTCTCAAAGGGTCACCAACTCAATAAATAAATAAATAAATATTAATAAATTATGTATATACCCACATATCATATTTTTCGGCGTAAAAGACGCTCCAAAGTATAAGATGCACCTTAGTTTTTGGAGAGGAAAATAAGAAAAAAAAATCTGCCTCTGCCCACCAGCATCCATCAGTATTTATCTGGCTAGCATTCTGTCAGTGTGTGAGAGAGAGTTGAGGGCTGTTTAGAAACTGAAACAGTATTTGCTGTGTGAGCAAAAAAGGAAGGAGACAGCAAGGAGCCTAGGCGTGGCTTAGCTCTGCAGCTCTGAGTCTGTGCTGAGCTCTAAACTAGTCTCCTGCACAAAACTGAAACTGAAACTCCTCTCCTCTGCTTGTGTTTTGCTTGTATTTACTACCACATTGGAAAACCTGCTTTTGGTATTGTATATTTACTTCATGTATTATATTATATATAAAGAGAAGTTATTGAATCCTGCTGAATCAGTTACTTGTGTGTGCTTTCTGGGTGTGATTGCTGCTGCAAACTCTGAGTCCTTGCAGCAAATAGCAAACAGCCAGGTCAGCTTCAGCACATTATTGCAGCCTGATTCAGCACAAGCAGCTGATTCCGCCTTCCAGAATACCCCCAATCAGCTGTTCCAAGGTGCAGGGATTGCCACAGACCATCGCTGCCTCCGTGCCTCATGTTTTTGGCTACATTCAGTGTATAAGATGCACCCAAATATTCACCCTCTTTTAGGAGGGGAAAAAGTATGTCTTATACTCAGAAAAAAATAGTATATTATGACATAGAGAAACAACACAGTCTAGTTTGAATGTATACATGTAAACATGGCAAGAAAAACAAATCTTGCAAGTTTACCAGACGGAAGGCATCTCTCCCCCTCCCCTCTCAGAATCATGGTTTCTAAAGTGTTTTGAAATGGAAGCATTACTAGTTTCACTTGCAAGATACTGGAAAGTCATGCTTGTTATACTGTATTAACAAGAAAAAAAAAACCCAGTGAAGATTTTTTTTTTAAGCATTGCAAAGTTGGGTAGTATAGAATAAAATCAGCCTGCCACACATCAAAAACATTTCAGAAGCTGTAGAACACAGCTTCTGAGATTTGCAAGTGGGCATCGCACACCGCCCAGAGGCTACCATACGAGGACAAAAATTATGCATTGTAAAGATCGCTTGGAGGCAGGAGATATTTCCAATATAATCTATGGAATCCCCTTCATGGATTGCCCCTGTAGGACAGATGAAGAGGAAGCTAACCACCAGATTACAAGAACACAAGTGAGCGGTCAGGCGAGAAAACCCAAACTCATTGGTAGCCTCGCACTGCAATGAACAAGGACACACATTCAATTTTGCAGCTACTAAGTTTGTTGGACTAGCAGGCACAAAAACATCCAGGGAAGTGATTGAAGATTGGGAAAGAGGCCCCTCATCAGTCAACAGGAGTGCTGATTTACCATCAGCCTACCAAGTACTTAGAAGGGGACAGCTGGGCAGCACAAGCAAATCAGAGATGGGTTGCTACCGGTTCGCACCGGTTCAGGCGAACCGGTAACAGTGGCGGCAGGAGGCTCCACCCACCTGCCCGGATGTCCCCAAATACGATCTGCTCATGCAGAGAAGCTTCTGTGGATGCACAGAAGTGGCACGTACATGAACGAAGCAAGCACGGATGCATGGGTGAACCAGTAGCAAAGGTAAATGAAACCCACCACTGAAGCAAATGACAGCTAATAACTTAAAAACCAGCCATCAACCCACCCCTATGAACATCTAAAAAGATACATACAACAGGCACTATAAAGAGAACAGAGAACATAGAGAACAGCACACACTTTGCTAGAGAGAAGTTCCCTGAAGATGGGCTCCAGCACGAGTCCAAAAGCTTGGAAGACAAAACCTCTGGTCCTGGTGACCGACCCAGATTGGATCCTGCAACATTATCTTGGGACACGTATATTTGTCTTCATTTGTGAGAATAAAATCAGATTCACTGATTAACTCCTCCGGCTCCCATCTCCTCCGGGTTCCGTCAGCTAAGCAATGCCGGCTGGCGGGCCCGCGGGGGAGGGCCTTCTCTGTGGCTGCCCCAGCTCTCTGGAACCAGTTACCTCCTGAGGTCTGGACCATCCCCACCCTATTGGCCTTCCGAAAAGCGGTGAAGACCTGGCTTTTCCGGCAGGCCTGGGGCCATTGATCTCGCTCTTGTGATCTGGCGAGATCTGGCCATGAATGGCGTGAATGAGTTTTTAATGTTTTTAATTTTTAAATGTTTTTTATAATGATTTTTTAAAATGTATAGTGAGCTGCCCTGAGTCTTCGGAGAGGGGCGGCATATAAATTGAATTAATTAAATTAAATTAAATTAAACTTGTAAAACTGACTGAAAGGCAGGTAAAATGCTAAGAGGAAGATAGGAAGGTGGGGGAAGCCAATGATTTTGACTTTCCCCAAACTTTTTTGCATAAAAGGATCCATTTCTATTTTCAAAAACTCACACTAATTGCATAGAAACAATGGAATGGTGGTTCAAAGTGTGCGAGGTAAAGCACAAAATAAGTCTAACATTCACTGCTGTAATGTTGAAGTCTGCAACTGCAGTGTTATTTATTATCAAAAACATATAGCCTTAACATTTCCGGAAAGAATAAGTTATATTCCTTGAGATCTGAACACAGCAGATATTTGCTGCTCCTTTGTCATGAGTCTAATGAACAACCAATTTCTTTTCGAAAATCTTTTGCCACCAGAGTGCTTTAAACACAAAAGAGTTCACACAGTACACAACAGAACCTGTCCAAGCCTTCCTTTTTATTTTTCTACTCCAAATGTCTTTTTAATAATAATAATAATAATAATAATAATAATAATAATAATAATAATAATAATAATGTACCGGGATTTGCAAATTGAAGTTGAGCGACTGTGGAAAAAGAAATCGTGTGTTGTCCCGATTGTAATTGGAGCCCTTGGAGCAATACCCAAAGGGCTACCCCGCTATTTAGAAATTCTAAATTTACCGGACTTGAACATTTTGACTCTACAAAAAACCACCTTACTCGGAACAGCTTACATCCTCCGACGATACCTTAACAGTTCCTAGGTCCTTGGTTAGGACTCGAGCTGCTGAGCTATTAACCAGCCTCAAAAACTGTGAATCTCACTAAAGATTAACCAATAATAATAATAATAACTTTATTGTCATTGTATATGTATACACAGTATACCCATACAACGAGATTCACTTGACACCCAAAGACCAGGTCCAACACACATAACAATCCCCAAACACACTCCCACCCACCACAATTCCGATATATATAGCAAATTGCTCCTGGAAGCACGAAGCCGAGAACACCAGCCTGAAGATGACGAATGAGACTTCGTCGAAACGTCGCCAAGACACTTCCAATTTTACGTGGGAGAAGACCTGAATAACCAAAGACCTACATATATATATGTAGGCAAGGAGGGCCTTGCCGTTTTCTTGTTCTCTGTCTTGGATTTTAGTGGGGGTTTCTCAGAGAACAAGAAAACGGCAAGGCCCTCCTCCCATACATAAAAGGCACCACAGACAGAATAAGCAAAATCCTCCACAAACATAACATCAAGACAGCATTCTGCACAAACCGAAAAATATCCACCATCCTAAGGAACCCCAAAGACAAAATTGAGTTAGAAAATCAAGGAGTATATGAAATCCCATGCACCGCCTGCCCCACCACATACATCGGACAAACCAATAGACGAATAAGTGCACGCATAGAAGAACACAAGAACTCAGTCAGAAAAGAGGAACCAACTTCTTCCCTGGTCCAACACCTTAAAGCCACAGGACATGATATTGACTTTAAAAAGACCAGAACTATCGCCAAAACTGAACACTTTAACAACAGAATAATCAGAGAAGCCATCGAGATAGAAAAACGCCCACACAGCATGAACAAACGAGACGATACCTCCCGCCTACCAGCCATTTGGAAACCCGCCCTTATTGACAAACGAGTCCCTAACACGACAAATGACACCAGACCCACACTCACGAGAGCCACACAGGATGTCACCACCACACATCCACGCAGAAAGCAGACTCAAACCCACACTGATAATGAGCCACGACCAAGGACCAGAAGCCAGACTGCAGCTGCATCATTAGCCACTTTAAACCCCTCCAATCCATACATGAAGCAGACTGACACCCACCACGAAGAGCTCGCACGGCCACAAACACGAAGCCAAACAACAATGCAGCTCACCAGCTCAAATCCCCCTGCAACTCAGACTAAGCTGAGCACAACCAAGCCCCCACCCAAACAGAACACACCCCCAGCCAATCAGAGCACAACCAACCCCCCATCCAATCAGAGCACAGCCAAGCCCCTAACCAATCAGAACACACCTCCACCCAATCAGAACACAGCCAAGTTCCCACCCAATCAGCTCACACCCCCACTAGCAGTTAAAAGGAAGAGACAGCTGCAATCTCACATTGCTCCTGGAAGCACGAAGCCGAGAACACCAGCCTGAAGATGACGAATGAGACTTCGTCGAAACGTCGCCAAGACACTTCCAATTTTACGTGGGAGAAGACCCGAATAACCAAAGACCTACATACAACAATAACCATTTAACGGGTCAATTTTCACTATTTTATCTGTTCATCATGATCGTTTTTTAAATATATATATATATATATATATATTGCATATTTCACTCAGAACAAAATTCACAATGTCTTGAGAATAGTTTATATTTTCTTGCATCCTAAAAATTTGACCTAAGAAACTTTTTTAAAAAACGATCATGATGAACAGATAAAATATTGAAAATTGACCCGTTAAATGGTTATTGTGATCCACAAGGCAAGTCAATTTAGAAGCTCAAAAACACTTGATAACCCCAAATAAGGATCAAAATGGTCCAATTGCAGATGACTCTAAAAGATAATGAGTATTTCACCACAAAAACACTCCTGCTCCAATACACTACTTCAACTGTTTATGTCAACAGTATAAAATCTGCAGCCATACCTTTTACCTTTGCCTAGAGTTGATACTAAGTGGAATCCAATGTCATCAAGAAATTATCCAGCCTGATTTGTACAATCAGATGAGGCCTTAAAGTTAAGTGAATCTCACTAATTTCTCTTCATTCCCATTGACTCTCGGTCAAAAGACATGCAAATTTTCTATTTAGCGGAAGCTGATGTTGAAGAGAACATCACCAACCAACCTGAAGAGAAAAAAGTGAACTTGGCCTTGAATCCCCTGAAGTTATTTTCTTCATCACTCTCGAAGTGGATCAGCATGATGTTCCCTGGGCTCCACACAGGCGACGGAATTGAGAAACCACACAGGAGAGCTATAAGGGGAAAAAAAGAACACAACTCCTGCCATCAGCGGTGTTGGGATATGGTATAAGTCTAATAAGTTGTCCAGGCAATATCTGTGTTCTATCACTTTAAATGCATTCTGTAACTTTAAATGTAATACTGAGTAATTGTACTGCTGAGTCATTGTAATGACTAATGACTGCTGACTGAATGCTGACTGCAATTATCATAATTGTACTGTTGAGTCATTGCACTGCTGACTTCACTTATCTTAAGTGGATAATTACTAGTGTAAACTGTATATAAGAAGGAAGCCGAGCTATAGTCATTGTTGGACCTGCTCTCGTCATTGCTTGACTTGCTGCTTGACGTGGATGGATATGCTATCATTGTGATTTGTTACCAGCGTTGAATTGCTGTTTGTCTGGTAAAAAGACATCTGTAACTTCAGACTGATTTGAATGGCTAAAGACTTGGATTGACTAACAGACTATGCAATTGTTTTACACTACAAAGTAAAAGCTTTGTTAAACCAGTTTGTATGTATTGTATTCATTGCTCTCAGTACCGTTTCTCTGTGCATTTACTCTGCTGGTTGGTAACACAACAATATCCTTAACAAGCGGTGAAGTACTTTTCTGCAGGGCCCATATCTCAAATAAGGAAAAGGAGCTCCCTCAGTCTAAATCACCTCAGGAAGGTTGAGTCAAGATTTTGAAAAAAAAATGACTTAAACCGGAGACATTTTGGTTTGGTCTGCTATCTCTTGTCCATCACCACTGTGCATTTGCTTGACTTTCTTTCAGAATATAATCCACACCATCTTCAAAAGTAAGTGGATAAAGTCAGGGGTGAAATTTTGAGTAGTTCGGAGAACCAGCAAATACCACCTCTGGCTGGCCCCAGAGTGGAGTGGGAATGGAGATTTTGCAATATCCTTCCCCCAGGAGTGGGGAGGGAATGGGGATTTTGCAGTATCCTTCTCCTGTCACGCCCACCAAGCCTCACCCAAGCCACACGATGCCCACCAAGCCATACCCACAGAACCGATAGTAAAAAAAATTGGATTTCACCACTGGATAAGGTCTACATTGCTGTAGACCATTGCTGAGACACCGGATGGTCTCCTTCAATTTTTTGTTTCAGGGAGCCATTACAATCTACCAAGTCAAACCAGTTATTACCTAGCTGGTGCTCTTCTTCAGTGTCACCATAAACAACAACAGCATCATAAATACAATCCTGGCTGATTTCAACCGCAAAGTCTTCAAACTCCAACTGAAAGGAGGAAAACATTAGCATTCACCCCCATAGAACATACACAACAGCATTCCCATCCTTATGCCCTCTAGGACTTCTGATGGTACATTCTAGAAATTGTGGCCCTAGCTTATCTCAAGGGCATCTAATGAAACAACATCTCTGAGGCCATAGCAAAAAAACAACAACAAAACTCTATCCCAACCTGACCAAGGAGCACAGCAAAGCAAATCAAGACATGATTTTTGGTCCTTGAGACAGGAAATCCTGTCAGCATCTCTCCCTATGTCTGGCAGAAAAAGAATTCAATAACATCGAATTAAATCATAATCTATTTCCCTTTCTTGACCTCCAAAATCATCAGCTCGAGGCAGTTGCCTCACTCTGCCAACGACAAGGCTCTCGTGTGAAGCCATTTTAAGTGCTTTGAGGACACAGATAAGCAAGATCCGTTGCCTCAGGAATGATTTGTGACTGTCTGACACAGGCATCCCCCCCAAAAAAGTTGGTTGCATTCCAACCCAGGTCATTGCTCCTTATTACCTTGATGACACGGTCCACTGGTGCTTCAATGAGCCAGTGGCATTTTGTGCTGCTGGGATATAAGCCAGGGTAATTAGCCGTGTCAATCTTGCCTTCTTCCACCAGCATTGCAACGCTGCCACAGCCAGAGCCTACGACATTGGAGCAAGAGAGGCGGCAGCAAATAAGCAAAGATGTTATGCATCAACTGCACCTTATTAACTGGTAAATCGACATTAAGTTCTTTTTCCACCCCAATATACTTAAAATATTCAAAGGGAGGCAGCATGTCGACTTGCTTTTTTCAGAATAAGTATAGAGACGAAGAAGCTGCCTGTTCCCCCAATTGCCCTCCACAGAGGGGTTCAGAGGCAAAGGTGAAATTACCTGCTTCAGATGCTGGATGCACAGCACCGAAGGTGAATTCAAAGCCTCTGCCCCCAATGCTGCCATCAGACACAAATATAACAATGGCTTGGTCCGACTCTATCAGCAAGGGGGAAGGCAAGACATCACCACAGATTTTACCTGTTAGAATAATAAATAAATAAATAAATAATTTTATTTCTATACCGCCCTTCTCCCGAAGGACTCAGGGCGGTGTACAGCCAATTTAAAAACACAACACACAACAATAATTAAAAATTAAAATAATTACATAGATTTGGCCGATTTAAAACCCCAAACATTTAAAATACCCCAATTAAAATTATTAAGTTGATAGCCCTGCCTGGCGGAACAACAGGGTCTTCAGTGCGCAACGAAACACTCGGAGGTCGGAGATCTTGCGTATTTCCGGGGGCAGTTCATTCCACAGGGCTGGGGCTCCCACAGAAAAGGCCCTCCCCCTGGGTGTCGCCAGCCGACATAACTTGGCTGATGGCACCCTGAGGAGACCCTCTCTGTGGGAGCGGACTGGTCGGTGGGAGGCTATTGGTGGCAGAAGACGGTCTCGAAGGTACCCGGGTCCTATGCCATGGAGCGCTTTAAAGGTGGTAACCAACACCTTGAATCGCACCCGGAAGACCACTGGGAGCCAGTGCAGCTCGCGCAGGAGGGGTGTCACGCGGGCACAACGAGTTGCGCCCATAACCACCCGCGCGGCCGCATTCTGGACCAGTTGGAGCCTCCGAGTGCTCTTCAAGGGGAGCCCCATGTAGAGAGCATTACAATAGTCCAGCCGGGAGGTGACAAGGGCATGAGTGACCGTGCGCAAGGCGTCCCGGTCCAGAAAGGGCTGCAACTGGCGGATCAGGCGAACCTGATAAAAGGCCCCCCTGGCCACGGCCGTCATATGCTCTTCTAAAGACAGCCGTGCGTCCAGGAGGACACCCAGATTGCGAGCCCTCTCTGTGGGGGGCAAAGATTCACCCCCAATAGTCAGCGATGGCACCTGCTGACTATATCGGGACGCCGGCAGCCACAGCCACTCGGTCTTGGACGGGTTGAGTCTGAGCCTGTTCCTCCCCATCCAGACCCGCACGGCCTCCAGGCAGCGAGACATCACATCAAGGGCATCGTTGGGGTGGTCTGGGGTGGAGATGTACAGCTGAGTATCATCAGCGTACAGATGACACTTCACCCCAAAACCACGGATGATCTCACCCAGTGGCTTCACATAAATGTTGAACAGAAGGGGCGAGAGGACCGACCCTTGTGGCACTCCCCATGCGAGATGCCTCGAGGTTGACCTCTGCCCCCCTGCCAACACGAACTGCGAGCGGTCGGAGAGGAAGGAGGAGAACCACCGCAGAACGGTGCCCCCTATTCCTAACCCTCTTAACCGCCGCAGCATGATACCATGGTCGATGGTATCAAAAGCCGCTGAGAGATCTAATAGGACTAGGACAGAGGAGCAACCCCTGTCCCGAGCCCTCCAGAGATCATCCACCAACGCGACCAATGCCGTTTCTGTGCTGTGCCCCTGCCTGAAGCCCGACTGGCACGGGTCTAGATAGATAGCTTCATCCAGGTGCCCGGGCAGTTGTCGTGCCACCACACTCTCAACAACCTTCGCCACAAAACGAAGGTTGGAGACCGGACGGTAGTTAGCTAATTCAGCCGGGTCCAGGGAAGGCTTCTTGAGGAGGGGCCTCACCACCGCCTCTTTCAAGGCGGCGGGAAAGGCACCCTCACTCAGAGAAGCAGTTATAATCCCCTGGAGCCAGCCTCGTGTAACCTCCCGGGAGGCCAGTACCAACCAGGAGGGACACGGGTCCAATAAACATGTGGCGGCACTAATCCTACCCAGAACCCTGTCCACATCCTCGGGAGCCACAGGATCAAACTCCTCCCAGATAATATTCTCAAGGCCTGCCCCTGTCTCCTCCCCTGGACTCATCCAATCGGAGTCCAAGCCATCCCGAATCCGAGCGACTTTATCATGCAGAAATTGCACAAAATCCTCAGCGCGGCCTTGCAAGGGATCTTCCCGCACTCCCCCCCGAAGAAGGGAGTGGGTCACCCTAAACAGGGCGGCTGGGCGGTTCTCTGCAGATGCGATAAGAGCGGAAAAATGGTTAGATTTCGCCGCTTTTATCGCCACTAGGTAGGTCTAGAAGAGAACAAAGTCAAGATGAACCCTGTGGGAGTCACATTCATCCTCTTGACCCACTCTTTGTAGCTTTAAGGACTACAAAAGATGCAACTGGTATAGCTCAAGGATAGGATTCTTGGGTTCGGACAATTCTTTCCCCAGAGCAGGGGTGAAATGAAAAAAAAACTACTGGTTCAGGCGAACCGGTAGTTTAAAAAAGCTACCGATTACTCCGAACTGATATTTCCTATGATCAGCTGTGCAGCGGGGTTTAGCTTTTCTAAAAAGCAGGAAATCCTGCTTTCTAGCAAAGCTAAACTGCACTGCACAGCTGATTCCCCCCCCACACTGTTCTACTTATCTTCCCAAGCCTCATTTTGACATGTATTACGCATGCGCACGCGCAGCATGCGCCTAAAGGCGGCTTGGGAAGGTAAGTAGAACAGCGGGGGAGGGATCAGCTGTGCAGCACGGTTTAGCTTTGCTAGAAATCCTGCTTTGTAGCAAAGCTAAATCACGCGCCACAGCTGATTCCCCCCTCGCTTCTATTTACCATCCCAAGCCTCCTTTTGGTGTGTAGTGCACATGCGTGCACACTGTGCATGCACACCCAGCATGTGTTTGGTGCGCACTGCACATGCGCACACAGCGCGCATGTGTGGCCAGCAAACCGGTAGCAAACCGGTTCAGATTTCACCACTGCCCCCAGAGCCCTCTGCAAGGCATCAATTCATCTATCTCACTGGTGTCAAACTCGATTTCATTGAGGGCCACATCAGGCTTGTGTTTGACTTTGGGGGGCTGGGGTGGGTGTGGCCAGCTCAATGTCACTCGTGTCGGGGCACCTGTGGTAGCCTGAGTGCTCTGCCAGCAAAAACGGGCTCCTGAGCTCTGTTTTTGACTGCGACAGCATCCTACAATCCTCTGCCAGTGAAAACGGAGTTGGGGGTGCTGCCCGTGGCCCTTGTAAGCTCCATTTTTGGCTGCGATGGCCTCCTGCAATCCTCTGCTAGCGAAAACGGAGCTCTGTTTTCGCTGGCAGAGGCCAATCCTTCCTTTGCAGTTTCCAGGGCAGCTCCGCAGCCGGATCTAAGCACCCTACAGCTGGATCCAGCCCACGGGCCTTGAATTTGACATCTCTCATCTATCTGGTAAGATGAACTGTCCTTTGCCTCCATCCAATTGCAGGGTATGGTAGCAGAAGGAGAGAGAGACAAAACAGGAGAAGTCATAAAAAGAAGACAGAGGATTTATTCCAGCACTGAATTTGGATCTACCGTTGCACAAATTTGGTCCCCAAATCAGAGGAACCTTCTGCAAGAGATGGCAGGTTCTCAAGCACATTTCCCAGACTCAACCCTTAAAACTTTCCTTTCGGTCAGAAAAGCCACCAGTCTAGAAAGCAGCTGCTAGTCATAATTGATGTACTGGGCTAGACAGAGAAATGGCCCAACTCAGTCAAGGGCAGTTTCCTAAATCATAGACTGAAATTTCACAAGGAATTGCACGAGAGACCTTCCACCTACCAATTAATTCCTTCTCGCTTGAATAGAAAGCAACATAGTCATGGTCACATTCAATCTCATCTTCTACGTCTAGTTTGATAAATTCCACCAGGATGATTTTATCTTCAGATACCGTTAGGTTCCAAATGCACCAGCTGGAAATAGACAATTTAAAGTATGGCTTGGGCAGAAGACATGATATTGCTGAGCACCTGGAGTCAGGAACTATCATGGGCCTCTCAGCTGAAAATGCCTTGCACTGATTCTTCTTCTACCACCTAACAAATATAGAACAAAGCGATAGAACAGCAAACTCACCTCCCTCAACTTTTATTTGTTTGCTTGCATGAGAAGTGAATGGGCAGATTGAACCATAGGGAAAAAAATATGAACATAAAGGATCTGTAGATCAGTGGTGGGTTCCTCCCAGTTCTGCCCGGTTCCGCTGAGCCAGTAGCGGTGACGATATGACATCACTAAACCGGTTCTGGGGCCCCCCGGCCCCCCCCAGCCCTCCCGTGTTATTCTTACCTTTTATTTGGCCCCACCCCTAATCTATTGCTGCCTCCTGAGTCCCAGCTGATGGCTAGAGGGAAAAAAAATTGTTTAAACTCTTGCCGCAGGGCTTCAAAGGGCCGCCCTACAGCTGATCACTGTTAAAAGAAAACAAATGAGTAGACCGGTGCCTGCAAAAATACATGAGTAGATCAGTGCCTGCAAAAATACATGAGTAGATCAGTGCCTGCAAAAATACATGAGTAGACCAGTGCCTGCAAAAATACATCAGTAGACCAGTGCCTGCAAAAATAAATGGGTAGATCGGTACAGCCTGGTAGGCCAGTACCTCTGCTAAATCCTAAATAATTGTCACATGACCAGCAAGCCACACCCACAAAATAAGCCACACCCACAGAACCGGTAGTAAAAAACCCTGCTGTAGATTATATTCTGCCTTTTGTCTAGAAATTTAATGTCAACGTTCCAGAAAAACCCAACTCCAATTAAAAACTCCGAGGCAAGCATTTTCTCAAAGTTCCGTTTATTAGAGTAGATATACTGGCACATCTGGGAAAACCCGAATCTGAGAAATCCGGGTTTTCCCTCAGTAAATCAAAACCCCCAAAACTATCCCCTCACTCATCAGTCCATCACATGGCCCAATCACTATCCGTCCCATTTTGAGACATCACTCCAACCACTCCTTCTCCAGATGCAGGATTGTCCTGACCTTGACCGAAAGGAAGAATGCTATTTTGTCTAACTCCATTCCCTCTACTAAATCCCCCCCTTCTACTTTCCCACACACAAGAAGGTGGCAGCATGGAAGCTTCCGGTCTAATATGGCTTCCAAAGCTGACACTTAAGGCAGTATATATAAGGCCTCCTCGTCCTTTTTTCCCAACAATAGCAAGAGTGTGAGTCAGATGACTGAGACCAGACTGACTGAACCATAATCTCTCAGTGAGCTCCTATGGATGAAGGGTGGACCTCCACATTCTTATTTGCCTTAACCACCACAGTGTTTTTCAAATTTGGCAACTTTCAAATGTGTGGACTTCTGGGAATTGAAGTCCACATAGCTGAAAGTTGCCAAGTTTGAAAAACACTACTACACCGTCCTGGCTTTATAATAGAGTACTTACAAAAAATATAAATTCTGTATTTATTTATTTTTTTAGTTCCTGGCTTGGTGTCGTAACGGAGAAGATAGCATAAAATAGAAATCACAGGTATTGATTCAATGTCCTGGCTATGTGCACCTCACAGTAACTTAAGCTACGGCCCCAGTTTCTCTTCCAAATTTACCTTCAAATTTTAAACTTCACTTTTAACCTTTATTCCTGCATTGGACAAGGAATAGAACATATTATTACCAAGGCCCTGTGTCCATGATGGCAAGCAGAGCCCTCTCTGTGGGCATGTGCACTGTCACTCGCTGCTTTTCTGATCTTCGCAGGTGCCAGAGTGCTGGAAAACAGCCAGAAAACAGCTCCCAAAATGACCCCAAACAGGCTGTTTTCCAGGCCATTTCCGGGTCTTTTACAGGCCATTTTTCAGGTTGTTTTCAAGCTGTTTTCGGGCCATTTTCTGTACCCTTTTCAGGCCATTTTCTGGGCCATTTTTGGGCCATTTCTCAGGTTAAAAATGCCCCCAAAATGGCCTCAAAACGGCCTGGAAAACGGCCTCAAAATGGCCCCAAAAACAGCCAAAAACGCCCAAAAAACAGGCATGATTGCGCCAGCCAGTTAGTCTTTGGGTTTCCGGTGCTCCGGCGGGCACACATGCACGCACCTGCATGTGTGTTCCGGTTTGGGCACTTGGTGCTGAAAAGATTCACCATCACTGCCCTATGTAACTTTTACACTGAACAAGTCTATGATTCCAACAGAATGGGGGAATTACTAAATAACCAACTATATTTAATTTAATTTGAGTGAAGTTTAAATTAAATCTAATCTAATCCAAGATTAGTTTATCCCTGCCCACTTTTGGGGTCCCTGTCCCTGGAACACAGGTAGCCCTCGACTTACAGACATTTGTTTAGTGACTGTTCAAAGTTACAAAAAAAGTAACTTATGACCGTTTTTCACACTTACAACTGCTGCAGCATCTCCATGGTCACATGATCAGTGTGGTTACAGTGTCCCAGGGTCATGTGATCACCTTTCGCAACCTTCTGACAAGCAAAGTCAATGGGGAAGCCAGGTTCACTTAACAACTGTGTTGCTAACTCAACAACTGTAGTGATTCACTTAACAACTGTAGCAAGCCAGATTGTAAAATGGGACAAAATTCACTTAACAACTGTCTTGCTCAGCAACAGAAATTTTGGGCTCAACTGTGGTCACAAGTCAAAGTCTACCTGTATTATTATTTCTAGGGCAATTCCAAAAACACTGAGGATCTCTGGTGTAACCAATTGCATTATTACAGAATTGCTAGCAAATAATTCAAAGCCATTTAGTGAGAAATCGAATTGCCAGCAAATAATTCAAAGAATTATTGAATAACTAAATAATAATTACACCATTACGGGATTGCTACCATTTGATTGCTAAAAAGGCATCTAAGTTCAGATAAGACATTGCTTCAAGTTGCCTAGGAGTTCACAGCCAAACCATCCCTATCTATTTGTCAAGAAGCAGTGAAAAACCAAGATGGCAAAGCACATCAGATTTAATTTATTTCTTTACATTTAAGGACCACAACCAAAATATTATTTAACTCATTAACATTTACCATGCATGTGCATTTAACATTCTATTGCAGGGGTGTCAAACTCGATTTCATTGAAAGCTACATCAGGGTTGTGTTAGACCTTGGGGGGCTGGGGTGGGCATGGCCAGGGTGTGGATTGCCAACTCGACATCACTCGTGTCAGGGGCGCCTGTGGTGGTCTGAGTGCTCTGCCAGTGAAAATGGGCTCCCAAGCTCCGTTTTCGGCTGCCACTGCCTCCTGCAACCCTCTATCAGTGAAAACAGAGCTCAGGAGGACCAGATCTAAGTACCCCATGGGCTAGATCCGGCCCCCAGGCCTTGAGTATGACACTCCTGTTCTATTGCATCTTTATCAACAAACTCTCCTTTTGTTCCACAAAGCCATATCAAGGCAGCCCATTTTGTAATGTCCTTCAAGGAAACTCAGCGCCTGTAGCAGAGGTGGGTTTCAGCAGGTTCTGACCAGTTCTGGAGAACTGGTAGCGGAAAATTTGAGTAATTCGGAGAACCGATAAATACCACCTCTGACTGGCCCCGCCCCCATCTATTCTCTGCCTCCCGAGTCCCAGCTGATCGGGAGGAAATGGGGATTTTGCAGTATCCTTCCCCTGGATTGGAGAGGGAATGGAGATTTTACAGTATCCTTCCCCTGCCACACCCACCAAGCCACGGCCACCAAGCTATGCCACGCCCACCAAGCCACACCCACAGAATCGGTAGTAAAAAATTCTGAAACCCACCACTGGCCTGTGGTGAATACATACCTATTATCAAGGTAGTTGTCTTCAGCCAGGCGGGGGTACCGAACAAGGCCACTTTCACCAAACACCAGCGTTCCATGGGGATTGCACTCTTCTAGGCTGGATGCAGGCAGAAAGCTTGGCCCAGCTCCTGAGCAAGAGAAACCAAAAAGGTTCCTGTGAAATATTTTCAGCAAGAAGATGTAATGAAATGTGTACCTGCAGTCACAGAGAGGGAAGATTTTGCCAAGAGAGGGAAGAACTTTCCCAAGAGACCCAGATCAAGAAACTGCACAATCCTGAGCTGGCGAGGAGGAAGGGGAAAGATGTTCAGGGTAACTACATCTTAGAATCTCTAAGGATATACTATATCTATTAGCTTAGAACAGGGGTGTCAAACTCAAGGCCCACGGGGTGCTTAGATCTAGCCTGCGGGGCCTCCCTGGAAACAGTGAAGCATGAGCACTGGCCTGTGGTGGCTCCGTTTTCGCTGGCAGAGGGCTGCAGAATGTCAAGCTGGCCACACCTACCCTGGTCAAGCCCACCACAGCCATGCCCACTTGGCCCCCCGAGGTCAAACATAACCCTGATGCGGCCCTCAATGAAATCGAGTTTGACACCCCTGACTTATAAAGTTATAGCTGTCATTAGGCAAGATTCTGTCTATTAGATGTAAGCAAATAAAGATTGCACTTGATTGGATTTCAGTCTCATCTCTGGGCATGAACCTAACATCAATGTTGCCAAACTAAATATTACTAGATATATATTCTGAAAAATTCTAGGGTGAAGGGTCCTTGGTGCTCTCTCGCTCGGTTGTTTTCTAGCTCAAAGAGCACGATGGACCTCTCATTGGAACCCTGAGCTACAAATATTCTCCTTTATCAGCTTCTAGGGTGTGGTTACCCTCAATCTCTTTCTCCCTTCCCCCTCCATTTTGGGATTGTACAATCTTTTGATCCAGGTCTCCTTCTGGAAAGTTCTGAGTTGGCAAAATTCCTCCCTCTGTGTTGTGGCCCGTCAGCGGCCTGTGCAGATTGTAGCTGATTCTGACAGCAAGGAGGCTTCCTTTAAGTGAAGAGGACGAAGAGGAGGAGCCTCTTCTCGATGCACGGGTGCACAGAGCGGACAAAAGGCAGGAGTGGCTCCTCTGGAGGAGGTCTCCTCGAGAGTAAGGCTTGGGGCTAATTGGCCACTCCCTTAGCCTATTTAAGGAGGAACGCCGACTGAAGCAATTTGTAGGGAACAACTTTAGTTCACTCTACTTCGTGTCTGGATTCTTTGCAAATTGCTTCTGGGCTTTCTGCCAACCTTAGTAAGATTGTGATTACTTTATCTTTTGTTTCTTGTAGGCTATTAAGAAAGTTTATTAACAGCCTTTGTTTTGAAACAGACTGAGTTATTTTAGTAAATTAAGTTTTGTACAAACTTTGTGTGTGCTGTGTTCTTTGGGGTCCATAGCTGGGGCAGAACACTCTGTAATGCAGGTGCTCATTCCATCTCAAAAAGTTTCTTTAAGGTACACAGTTTAATTCTTAGCAGAGTAAAACTTTTTCAGAACAAAACATCGATCTTGCATTTGACCTAGTAATTGTGTGTGTTCTGCCACCGATTTACTAAATATCACTTCAAGTTTTCTTCTAGCCGTTGACTGTGTGAGCATGATGATCACAGGGGAGCAAAGAACTGTACCTTTCTCTCTTCAATTTGGAGAAAAATAAATGTGAAGTATTCTCCCTTTGAATGCTTAGACATCTAAAAACAAAGCCACTAAACACCAGTCCCGTGTCATCTTCATAACACTGCTGTTTTTTGACTTGGTCACCATAGAATGTACTATTCAAAGAGCATCTAGAAACTGGAAGTTTTCAGAGAAAACAACCACCCTTATTCCCCCACATCTTTGCTATGGGAGAAAATAATTATGTGATTCTAGAGAACTGTCAATGGTGAAAGAAGGATAAGTAAAAAGCAATACTGACCAGTGGTCATATGTTGAATAATGAAATCCAGGAGCTCATTCACTTTAGAGAAAATGCCTGGAGAACCTCTACTGCCATTGATCTTCTTGTCAGTAAGCCAGCCTTTTCCACAGCCAATTCCCCATGAGGTGATGCCTACCAATGTCCAGATGCCGCTGGCTTTTCTACATGCCAGGGGCCCTCCAGAATCACCCTGATAATATGAGAAAAACCCTTCCAGGTAAGTTAGTGGTAGCACAATCCACATTTTTGGAAACATGCCAACAACATGATGCCCTCTCCACATTATTTATTTTATTGAATGTATTGAGTTTAGAGATTGCCTTCCTTTTGGAGCACAAGGAGGCATATACAACATTTCTTCATCCATTTCCCCCTCCCCATATCAATCTTGTGAAGTAGGTTGGGCTGAGAGGCAGTGACTGGCCATAAGTCACCCGGAAAGTTTCTATACCTATGCATGGATGTGAATCTGGGACTCTCTGATCCTAGTTCAAACGCCTTGATATATCAGATCTCTCATTTCATTTCACTGACTTACATTTCACTCTTTGGGCATGTATACTTTGTTAAATATAGGTAGCAATAGCAACAGCACGTAGACTTATATACTGCTTCACAGTGCTTTACAGCCCTCTCTAAGTGGTTTACAGAGTCAGCCTGTTGCCCTCAACAATCTGGGTCCTCATTTTACCGACCTCGGAAGGATGGAAGGCTGAGTCAACCTTGAGCCTGGTTGTTATATACGATATAAGGAAGTAAGGAAGTGAGCTGCAGGCTTCACTCAGGTCCTCCAAATAGGCGGGGAAATACTTGAATCTCATTGGCTAAGCCATCTGGCAGCCCTCTATAAAAGAGGACACTGTCAGACAAGCAGGTTGTTGGGTTGTACTGGTCTACTATTAAAGAGCTGTTGTTACTGAAGAACTGTGTCTGTCTCTTCTTTCACCGAATCTAACACTGGTGAGATTCAAACTGCCAAATTGCAGTCAGCTGGCAGTCAGCAGAAGTAGCCTGCAGTACTGTATTCTAACCACTGCGCCACCCACGGCTCTTATATGTAATTGTTAAACCGCTAGTATAGACCAGTGTTTCTCAACTTTAGCAACTTTAAGAGATGTGGACTTCATCTCCCAGAATTCCTCAGCCAGCTGGCTGAGGAATTCTGGGAGATGAAGTCCACATCTCTTAAAGTTGCCAACGATTTTTTTTTTAATTTGATTTATATGCCGCCCTTCTCCGGAGACTCAGGGCGGTTTACAGTGCGTTAAGCAATAGCCTTCATACTTTTGTATATTTTTTATACAAAGTCAGCTTATTGCCTCCACAAACTGGGTCCTCAATTTACCTACCTTAGAAAGGATGGAAGGCTGAGTCAACCTTGAGCCTTGGAGAGATTCGAACTTACTTTAATTGCAGACAGCTGGTGTTAAATTACATTGCTTTTGTCTGCAGAGCTATTCAGGCTCTTTATAACATTGAGAAACACTGGTATTGACCAAAATCCTATAATGTCCTACTTTCTAACCAACACCATTTCAGTATTGTATTGTCCAAATTCATTACCTTTAAAGAAAAAAAATCCAACAAATACACAAAATCCAAAATGATCTCAACCACAAAGGTAAAACAGGGTATCACATAAACTAAGGCTGCAAGCACTCCATTTTTCTTTTTTAGCTTTTTTTTTTTTTAATTTAATGGGAGGCCACTTCTTCAGAACCCAGCATTGAGTGGGCCCTTGTAAGTTATGATTCAGTATATTAAATTATCAAATGGGTCAATATTTTCATCAAGGCAATAAAATGGATCATTTAGAAATACAATTCCAGCAATGATTTCACCACGATTGGTGCATTGCCCTTAATTAGAAAAAAAAATTACATTATTCAAGGATGCCGTCAGAAACATTGGGTAGAGCAAGCTTCTTAACAATAGAAAAATTTCCTTTGGGACAGGTTGTAAATTCTTTTTCTGAGGTGCTTTAAATACTTGTGGCATAGTTTTTACCTTGCACGCATCTCTTCCGCCATCTGGAAAACCAGCACACAGCATGGACCTCTGCCCTGGGGGCAAATTTAAAGTTTTCAGCAATTCGCTGCAGGTTATGCTGTCAATGATAGGGAGCTCCACTTCCTGTAGGACGTTTGACAGGGACCCAGCTGCAATAATAATAATAATAATAATAATAATAATAATAATAATAATAATAATAATAATTCTAAATTTTAAATTTATTAAATTCTAAATTTGCCGGACTTGAACATTTTGACTCTACAAAAAACCACCTTACTCGGAACAGCTTACATCCTCCGACGATACCTTAACAGTTCCTAGGTCCTTGGTTAGGACTCGAGCTGCTGGCTATTAAACAGCCTCAAAGGCTGTGAATCTCACTAAAGATTAACCAATAACAACAACAACAACAACAACAACAACAACAACCACAACAACCACAAACAACAACAACAACAACAACCTAGAATGCTGGCAGAAACCCATAGCAACCATCAGTGCCAGTCAATAATATTTGTGATACATTTTGAAATGTTCAGTTGACTGAGTTTCATGTTTAATGAATAAAAGTATAATAATAATAATAATAATAATAATAATAATAATAATAATGTACTTGGTTGATACCTAGGATGCTGGCAGCAACCTGTATCAACCATTAGCACCAGTCAATGGTATTTGTGATGCATTTTTGAATGTTCAGTTGACCGAGTTTCATGTTTAATGAATAAAGTAAATAATAATAATGATAATTTTTTTAAAAACTCGACTATGGATGAAACATGTAACAGTGATACCCATTGTCATCAGGGCACTTGGTACCATGTCCAAGAATTTTACAAAACACATCAAGAAATTGCAACTTCCTGCAATAACACCAGCAGAACTGCAAAAAACTGTGCTACTCGGAACATCATATGTTTAAGAAGATACTTGGTTGATACCTAGGAGACTGGCAGCAACCTATATCAACCATTAGTACCAGTCAATGGCATTTGTGATGCATTTTTGAATGCTCAGCTGACTGAGTTTCATGTTTAATGAATAAAGTAGATGTAGATGATGATGATGATGATGATGATGATGATGATGATGATGACGATGACTGGCACTGATGGTTGATACGGGATGCTGGCAGCAATCCGTATCAACCATCAGTGCCAGTCAATAATATTTGTGATACACTCGTAAATGTTCAGTTGACTGAGTTTCATGTTTAATGAATAAAAGTATAATAATAATAATAATAAGGTACTTGGTTGATACCTAGGACGCTGGCAGCAACCCGTATCAACCATTAGCACCAGTCAATGGTATTTGTGATGCATTTTTGAATGTTCAGTTGACTGGGTTTCATGTTTAATGAATAAAGTAAATAATAATAATGATAATTTTTAAAAAAACCCGACTATGGATGAAACATGTAACAGTGATACCCATTGTCATCAGGGCACTTGGTACCATGTCCAAGAATTTTACAAAACACATCAAGAAATTGCACCTTCCTGCAATAACACCAGCAGAACTGCAAAAATCTGCGCTACTCGGAACATTGTACATCTTAGGAAGGTACTTGGTTGATACCTAGGACGCTGGCAGCAACCCATATCAACCATTAGTACCAGTCAATGGCATTTGTGATGCATTTTTGAATGTTCAGTTGACTGAGTTTCATGTTTAATGAATAAAGTAAATAATAATAATGATAATTTTTTAAAAAACTCGACTATGGATGAAACATGTAACAGTGATACCCATTGTCATCAGGGCACTTGGTACCATGTCCAAGAATTTTACAAAACACATCAAGAAATTGCACCTTCCTGCAATAACACCAGCAGAACTGCAAAAAACTGCGCTACTCGGAACATCATATATTTTAAGAAGATACTTGGCTGATACCTAGGAAGCTGGCAGCAACCCGTATCAACCATTAGTACCAGTCAATGGTATTTGTGATGCATTTTTGAATGCTCAGTTGACTGAGTTTCATGTTTAATGAATAAAGTAGATGTAGATGATGATGATGATGATGATGATGATGATGATGATGATGATGATGATGACGACGACTGGCACTGATGGTTGATACGGGATGCTGGCAGCAATCCGTATCAACCATCAGTGCCAGTCAATAATATTTGTGATACACTCGTAAATGTTCAGTTGACTGGGTTTCATGTTTAATGAATAAAAGTATAATGACAACTACAACAACATCATCAGGATCCAAAAAGTATTTTATAAGGAATCTCAGAACAGGAAAGCCCTCTTCAAACCCAAGCTAATAATTTGCATATCCTCTCTATCAAACTGAAATGTGATTTTGGGCCTTTTGTTTTCTTTTTGTGGGCTTTTTGATTGTCTCTTTTGAATGGCGTATTCAATATACTCTTTTGAATATTTTAATACATTTCATTATGCATCATATTTTATTTATATAATTGGATTTTTGGTCGATAACTGTAATAAAGTTTTTATTTGCTTTGCTCTGACTTGGTTTGTGGATCCATCCACACATCCACACACTGTCTGGGTTCATACAATAAGCCAAATAAAACTAAACAAGCGAAAATATTGTGATGTTGAAACCCAGACAACATCTTTGCATTCCAAATGGCTTCCTAATATAGCAATTAAGTAACCCAAAGAAATGGTGATAAGGAACATTAATTTTATTTATTTATTCATTCATTCAGACTATGCTGCTGCCCACTCATGTATAACTCTGACTGGCTCACAAAACTTAAAAAAAAAAAAAGATAAAAAGGAAGAGGCATATCTCACCCAGATTATAACAGTTTAGCAAAAGATAATAAAGATAGCTTCCTTGACATCCTGTCCTAATGCCTGGAGCCATCCTAATTTTGTGGGGTATATTGTTCCATAGGGCAGGCGGTAATATTCAGGCAGTAAACCATCTTCATTTTTAAGTTTATATAAAAAATATTAAAAAGTTATATCAAAATCTTAATATAAAATTTGATGCCCTAAAATTGTCACCTTAACGTAAATTTTAGAATATGATTTTCTAATCATGGAAGTAATGGCACATGATAAAATGAAAATCTCTGTGTTTCAAAACGGTAATTAAGAGGCAGCAAGTTCATGCATCTTAAGGCACTTTTTCTACTGTTTGAACACAGATCTATCTCAATGAACTTTTCCATTAGTCCTGAAGCAGGCAAGCTCCCTAAAGGTGTGCTTTCAACCTTGGCAATTTTGAGATGTGTGGATTTCAACTCCCAGAATTCCCCAGGCATCTCTCCAGTTGACTTGAGAATTCTGGGAGTTGAAGTCAAGACATCTCAAAGTTGCTAAGGCTGAAAAACATCCCCCCCCCCTCAAAAAAGGGTTTTACAAATCTGCTGCATAAATCTAGCTTACTTATGCATCCACCTCAAGGTAGGGTATATTAAGATTACCCAGCCAAAATCACTCCATCCTCCTAGTTATGAGTCATGGTGGCGCAGTGCATAGAGTGCAGTACTGAAGGCTACTTCTGCTGACTGCCGGCTGACTGCAATTTGGCAGATCAAATCTCACCAGGCTCAAGTTTGACTCACCCTTCCATCCTTCCAGGTTGGTAAAATGAGGACCCAGATTGTTGGGGGCAATAGGCTGACTCTGTAAACCGCTTAGAGAGGGCTGTAAAAGCACTGTGAAGCCGTCTATAAGTCTAAGTGCTATTGCTAAAGCAGCCAATGCATTCTTAGAACTTTCTTTGGTGTTAAATGTCTAGAGAACTATGGTTTTCTTGACATCCCCTCTGCCTCTTTCAAGCCTTTCTGAGAAAATAGATCTTTCTTCCTCTTATACTGTAATTGACAAGGAAACTTCAAAGCTCCAAGTAGCTTCAAAGCTTTTCCTTCAATGATTAATGGCATCTCTCATAGTTTACTGGCCACCTGGGCTAAAGGTCATGTACCTTACAGACCAATATCTCTGGACGGTGCCCAAATAACAAGGTTATTCATGCTCTTCCCAATTACCTTGATGTGTCATACAATTCCTAAAGCACTTATCATTCCAGATGTCTGGGTCAGTGGTGGGTTTCAAAATTTTTTACTACCAGTTCTGTGGGCGTGGCTTGGTGGGTGTGGCATGGTTTGGTGGGCACGGCTTGGTGGACGTGACAGGGGAAAGATACTGTAAAATCTCCATTCCCTCCCCACTCCAGGGGAAATGATACTGTAAAATCTCCATTTCCTCCAGATCAGCTGGGACTCGGGAGACAGAGAATAGATGGGATCAGGGCCAGCCAGAGGTGGTGTTTACTGGTTCTCCCAACTACTCAAAATTTCCGCTATCGGTTCTCCAGAACTGGTCAGAACTTGCTGAAACCCACCTCTGGTCTGGGTGTTGACTTAGGTCACTACCAACTGCTCAATGAGATTGAGGATGGAAATGTAAAGCAGAAGATGCCACAGAACAAAATATGATTGATGGCCTTTCCCCACTTGTGTTTAAACCTTGGAACAAGCCCATCAGGCCAAAAGCTCTTCTCCACATAAGGTCTCACCATGTGGCCTTTAACTTGTCCCTGGACCCTGTGTGAGTCAGTCTTATGTTATCCTTCAGTTAACACTGTCCGGGGTAACTTCTTCAGTTAATTTCACAGGTAACACTGTGTAAAATGTGTTGGGTCATTACCCTAGAGCAGAGGGAAATGCTGGTAACTTTAAGATGCATGAACATCAACCCCTAGAATTCTCCTGGCTGGGGAATCCTGGTAGTTGAAGTCCATGCATCTTAAAGTTGCCAAGGTTGGGAAACCCTGCCTTAGAGGGGGCCCAGATAACTACTGTGACTTCAGACAGTTGTCAACTTGCAAAGCTTTCAAATTGCCATGAGCAGGAGGGAGGGAGAACTGATAGAGCTGATTGATTTCCCTAACTGAAGTGCATTCCATACATTCTTCCTGACCGCAATCAGAAGGAGAGTGTTGGATTTCACAGCTAGCCAAAGTGGTTAATTGGAGAATGTGATTTATGACATGGCCAGAGAGGAGGGAAGAGACAGAGTCATAGGGGAACGTAAATCTACGTGGGATTAATTCTAACTGCATCGGAACAGTGGTATTAAAAGCAGGATGGGGTGTAGCATTGAGATGGTCCATCCTCATTGAGTTTTATGTGAAGCACTTTAATGCTTTAGTGAGGAAATTCATAAAATAATAGGAGAAAGAGAATAAGCCAGTATGAAGGAGAACCTGGGCTTTATAAAGTCCTGTACTATGACTCCTAGCAACCCTAGTCAACAAAGCTAGTAGTGAGTCCTACTATGTTTTGTAGCTCTGCATGTTCATCCTGCAATAATTAAAAAGCAAGTCAATAGCAAACTTCACATGCTACTCCCCATAGGAAGCTCAGGACCAAATACTCACCCTCAGAGGTTTTGCCCCATCCACTCACAACGCAGAGTGTTCCGGCTTCAAATACATCTTCCTTGTGGGGAAGACAGATAGGCTGTACTTCATAGCCTAAGAGAGGGAATATACAACCGGCAATTTTAAATCAATGTTTTCTTTTGATGAACACCCACGAATTTCACAGGGAAGATTTCATTTCTACATTTTTGTGCCCAAAGAATAGCTCAGCGGAACTTCAATGACACATGCATAATTTTCCAGATTTGATCTCCAGATTCTTAAAAAAGAATCCAATAAGAAATCAAAAACGTGTTTCTAGTTCCAGAGAATAGTTTGATTCTACAAAGTCTCTCACTCCTATCCCCACCCCTTAACTCCTTTAACTACCTTTGCAAAAAAAAAAAAATGGTCCCATCCCTTCTATTGATGTCATAGACTCTTCCCCAAGTTGGGAGGTTGAGTTACAGCCTTCCTCTCTCAAGCATTCCCCATTTTTGGCACACGTTCCCACCATTTTCTTTAAAAGTGCTTCACTCCTCTTCTTACCATATTGTACCTGATGTTTCAAATACAGCAGTGCTATATCTGAATCCATATACCCAAATCTGTTGAAGTCAGGATGGACAACAATTTCAGAGACTGGGACACTCTGTTCTTCTTCATCCCCACTGCCGAGGTCAAACTCACCAACAGTCACAATCAGATTCTTCACAACTTTTCTATAAAAAGAGTGGAAAGCATTATTATTCAGCCAGTTGACCCTATCATAAAGTATACGCCCAATGTAGTAAAACCAAACTTATGATTTCTTGATTCTACACAGGAGAAAAAATTCCCCAAATGTTACAGAGGTGATACCAAGCAAATTCTAGGAAATTCATTTTTTTTATCAGCTCTCATGGGCTTACAACAGCTTTTTTCACCTGTTGGATTTGCAACTCCCAGAATTTCTAGCCAGAATCCCAGAATTCCAAGGTTTCCTTCTTAAAATTCACAACACACCTGGCAAGCACCTGGACAGAACCACTTTAATGTGAGAAGCATGCAGTAAAGGTAAAAGGTAAAGGTTTCCCTGTCTAGTCATGTCCAACTCTAGGGCGCGATGTTCATCTCCATTTCTTTGCTGAGGAAGCCAGTGTTGTCCAAAGACATTTCCCGTGGTCATGTGACCAGCATGGCTATATGCCAAAGGCACTCGGAATGCTGTTACCTTCCCACCAAAGTGGTACCTACTTATCTACTCACATTTGCATGCTTTCGAACTTTGGGTAGGAGACAAGTCAGTACTTAAAGCATTTGTATGATCCCGCCACACAACTGGACAAAATCAAAGATTCAACAATGACACAAACTTCAATAAGGTCTGTTCAGCGCTGGTCTTGACATTTTGGACAGTTAGAAAAATTTTCCCAGTCTTGTTTATAAATTAGCTAATTATGGTACGATCTTTTTGAATGCTTGAAATGCTGCTCTCCAGATTTTTTCCCCCCATTTGAATTAAACTGCTATTTATGTGATAAATTGACAACTAACTAACCTAGTTAGTTGGTCTCCTGATTGTTTATGTCTGCTTTCTCTTCCATTCCTTTCCCAGCCTCCCTGGGTTGGCTAGGGAATTCTGGGAATTGAAGTCCATAATCTCAAAGTTGCCCAAGTTAAAAAAAAAATATTGCACTAACACCTGCTCCCTTCAGCCTTAGTTTACATTTTGCCTGCCGATTCCACAAGCTTTTTGCACAATGCTACTCCATAAGCTGCCACCGTATCTCAGCGGGCCAGTAACCAAGCATCTTCTTCAATTACTTTCGGTTCCTCTCCAAGCAAGTTATATAAAGTATAGCTTACAGATCGAAATCTACAACGCAGTGAGCTGCAGTGACCACCACATCATCACCAATCAAGCTGCCACCGCAGAAATGAGAACGGCCTCGCTTGATGGAGACCTATTCAGTGGGGAAAAGGAAGATGGGAGAAGACAGAAATCAGACGACTGAAAAAAAGAGTTTCCGACTTTAAATGGTTTGCTATAAGGCAGCCTGGCCAATTAGAAATTTGCTTATTTATTTATTTATTTATTTATTTATTTATTTATTTATTTATTTATTTATTTAATTTATTTTATTTCTATACCGCCCTTCTCCCGAAGGACTCAGGGCAGTGTACAGCCTGATTAAAAGCACAAAGACAGACAATTTAAAAATAATTTAAATTATTAAATAATTGGCTCAATTATAAAACCCCCAAATTTAAAATCCCATATTTAAAACCAATTAAAATCTTTACATTGATAGCCCGGCCTGGCGGAACAACAAGATTTTGAGGGCACAGTGAAATACACGGAGATCAGAGATCTTATGAATTTCTGGGGGCAGTTCATTCCAAAGGGCAGGGACTCCCACAGAGAAGGCCCTCCCCCTGGGTGTTGCCAGCTGACATAATTTGGCCGATGGCACCCTGAGGAGACCCTCTCTGTGGGAGCGGACTGGCCGGTGGGAGGCTACTGGTGGCAGAAGACGGTCTCGAAGGTATCCAGATCCAATGCCATGGAGCGCTTTAAAAGTGGTAACCAACACCTTGAATCGCACCCGGAAGACCACTGGGAGCCAGTGCAGCTCACGCAGGAGGGGTGTCACGTGGGCACAACGAGTTGCGCCCATAACCACCCGCGCGGCCGCATTCTGGACCAGTTGGAGCCTCCAGGTGCTTTTCGAGGGGAGCCCCATGTAGAGAGCATTACAGGATTAGACAGGAGAGTTGTGATCAGCAGTCCAGGCAGGGGTGGGCTTCAAAAATTTTAGCAAGGGGTTGTCTGCCCGGTTGCTGGGTGGGTATGACCATAGTGGGCGTGGCCTAGTCTGCCTCCTGCACCACGGCAGGGGGGAACATTTTTGCCCTCTCCAGGCTCCGGAGGTTTTTCTTGAACCTCTGGGAGGGCGAAAACAGCCTCCCCAGGCTCCAAAGACCCTCTGGAGGCAAGAAACAGGCCCGTTTCTGGCCTTCCTAAACTTCCGGTAGACCCATTTTTCACTCTCCCTGAGCCTCTGCGCTTACCTGCATCTAAAACGGGCCATGTCAGGACTCCTGGGAGGGGCAGGGTGGGGTGGGTCAGCCAGGAGTGGGATTTGGGGGTTCTCCAAACTGCACAGAATCTTAGCTAGAGATTCTCCCGAACCCTTGTGAACCCCCAGCAGCCCACCCCTGAGCCCAGGTTGGTCCTTGTATTCTAGGGAAATCAGCCATACAACTGAAATTATATAAATGAGTTTCTCTTGCCAAGGCATTATTAGAACCCCATTGGTATTTAATATATGTACTAATCAGTGAGTCCTGGACTACAAAACATTTCCCTTGACCATTCTACTGTGCAGCTGGTAGATGCATTTTGGACATTCTTAGAGAACTTGCTGAGGAATATCTGCTACTTATGGTTTAACTCTGCACCTAGTCCTTGTTTACCAACCACAATTGGAACCAACAACTCCATCGCTAAGTGAAACTACAACAGTTTTTATGATCTTACTTCAGCTTTCCTTTTGCTTTACAGACCTGTGAAGGTCGCAAATGCAAGAATTGGTTGCAAAGTTGCCCTTTCATCACCAACATAGCTCAAAACGGTCTCTGTATGAGACAATCACTAAATGAGAACTATCTATAAAAGCTAATCTTCGTTTGTTTTGTTTTTTAAAAAAAGATGAACTGCAGTTCCTGGGAATAGCAATAAGCATTTTTTTTTTATTTAAAAAAAAAGCATAGATACCTGCCATGGTTGCCCTCCTGGCACAGACATTCTTCCTCCAATAATTCTTGAAAAGGACCCAAGTTGTAAGTCATCTTCCAGATCCATGAAACGAAAGCCACATTTTCTTCCTTTGGAAGCAGAAGGGAGGGAAATCCATTTGAGATTGTGCTATTCTTGTAGTCTTACATGAGACCGAACACAACCTTCTTCCAAGTCATATTTGGATATTTTGTCCCAAAGGTGCTTTTTCAAGAGGCAACTGGACTTTCTGGTTTTTCTTTGAAGATGTTTTGCTTCTCATCCAAGAAGCTTCTTCAGAGTTGAAGAAGTCCAGTTGCCTCTTGAAAAAGCCCCTTTGGGACAACCATGACCTGGATGACTGAGAATCTCCATTGACATTTGGATATTTTGAACAAGCATAAGCCAATGCCCATATCTGTGTCCCAAAAGCCCTTGGATTCTGCAGAGCACTATTATGGCATTGGCTTGAGGTTTTCAAATTGTGATTTATGATTGATTGGGAATTATGATTTGATTGGGAGCTGCCCAGAGTTGTTGAAAGACGGACGACTATATAAATGCTTTAAATAAATTACATTACTAAAGAAATGGTTTCTGGCATGTGGCTTAGAATCCAGCTGTTGACTTGGGAAAAGAAAGAAAATGTGGTAGTGCTTGAAACACTCTAGTGAGTGGCCCCCGCAGGCTTCATTTCAAGACCCAAGGGCAATTTTAGCGCTTTTTATTTGAATAAATAAATTTCCACAGCAGCAATGAAATGAACAACAAAGCCAACCTTTGCTGGCTGCATAAGAAGCAGACATCACATTTTGCAGCTGTACCACTTTGGGGGTGAGAAGCTGCCCCTTTCTATGGAACATCATCTCCCAGATATTAGCTTGATCCCGACTCTACTGGATTTTTATAAGATGATTAAGTCTTTGCATTTCAGCAAGACTTTGAGGTCTGATGTGTTGCATTTTGCTCTCCTGCAGGAGAATGATGTAAGTACGTAACTGGAATCTTCCTTAGTAATTACAGCATACAGAATAACAGAGTTGGAAGGAGGTCTTCTAGTCCAACCCCCTATTCAGGCAGAAAACCCTATATAATTTCAGATAAATCGTTGTCCAATCTCTTCTTTAAATCTTCCAGTGTTGGAACATTCACAACTTCTGGAGGCATGTTTTTCCATTGATGAATTGTTCTAACTGTCAAGAAACTTCTCCTTAGTTCTAGGTTGCTTCTCTCCTTGATTAGTTTCTATCCATTGCTTTTGTCCTGCTTTCAGGTGCTGTGGAGAATAGCTTGACTCCCTCTTCTTTGTGGCAGCCCCTGATATATTGGAACACTGCTTTCATGTCACCCCTAGTCCTTCTTTTCATTAAACTAGACATACCCAATTCCAGCAACTAGTCTATGTTTTAGCTTCCAGTCCCCTAATCATCTTTGTTGCTCTTCTCTGTATTCTTTCCAGACTCTCAATATCTTTTTTATAATATGATGACCAAAACTGGATGCAGTATTCCAAATGCGACCTTACCAAAGCATTATAAAGTGGTAACAACACTTCACGTGATCTTGATTCTGTTCATGCAATCTAGGACTTGCACTGGCTTTTTTGGCAGCTGCAGCACATTTTTGAACAATAGCCATGTTGTTCCATGTTAATGGAACAACATGGCTTTAAAGGTGCTGGTCACCACCTTTAAAGCACTCCATGGCATAGGACCCGGGTACCTTCGAGACCGACTTCTGCCACCAGTAGCCTCTCACCGGCCAGTCCGCTCCCACAGAGAGGGTCTCCTCAGGGCGCCATCGGCCAAGTTATGTCGGCTGGCGACACCCAGGGGGAAGGCCTTCTCTGTGGGAGCCCCTGCCCTGTGGAATGAACTGCCCCTAGAAATGCGTAAGATCTCCGACCTCCATGTATTTCGCTGTGCCCTCAAGACCCTGCTGTTCCGCCAGGCCGGGCTATCAATGTAATGATTTTAAATTAGGTGTTTTAAATTTTGGGGGTTTTAAATTTGAGCCGAAACTATTTAATAATTTTAATTATTTTTAAATTGTCTGTCGTTGTGCTTTTAATAGGCTGTACACCGCCCTGAGTCCTCCGGGAGAAGGGCGGTATAGAAATAAAATTATTATTATTATTATTATTATTATAATCATTAGTGCATTCAAATCTCTAAAACACCCAGAATCAGTTTTGGATTGGAACAGCATTGAAGCCTAGTAAATACAGGTAGTCCTTGACTTATGACCCCAATTGGGACCAGAATTTCCATTTCTTAAGCAAGGCAGTCTTTAAGTGAGGTAGACCCAATTGTTTGCCATAGTTCTTAAATGAATCACTGCAATTGTTAAATGAATCATACAATTGTAAAGTGAATCAAGCTTCCCCCATTTACTTTGCTTGTCAAAAGCCAGATGGGAAGTTTGCAAATGGAGAACAGATGACTCTGGGTCATCCACAACCATTGTAAATACATGTTGGTTGCCAAGTTTTCACCATGTGACTGTAGGGCTTGGTCATACATCAGTTATTTCAGTGCTCTTCAGTGGTGGGTTTCATTTACCTTTGCTACCGGTTCGCTCGCTCGCGCATGCACACTCACTTTGCTCATGTGTGCACCACTTCTGTGCATGTGCAGAGCATATTTGATGACATCCGGGTGGGTGGGCGGAGCCTCCTGCCACTGCTGCTACTGGTTCGCCCAAACCGGGGCGAACCGGTAGCAACCCACCACTGGTGCTCTTGTAACTTCACGCAGTCACTAAACAGATGATTGTAAGTCAAGAACTACCTCTACATAAAGCCAGGGATGTCCAGTAGAAGTCAACAAAGATGGTGCATGCAACCATCCATGTGAAATCTTGTCACTTTCTCATGTACCGTGTGTGGAAAACATGTATAAAAGGGCAGACTTCAATTGCAGTTATGACTTCCATCTTGATTTTTGGTTTGATTCACACCCATGGATGTGCCTGGATAAATACTGTAAACATTAAAAGATATTAAGAAGGACCACCTTACCTCTTTCCATCCTCTCAAAGTCCAGTGGCTTAGAAAGAACAAAGTTCTCAGGCAGCTGTTCATGAGAAGACAAACTCTGCCATTCCTCTGTTCCACTTAACTTGCCCATTTCTGAACTCTGGAAAACTGTGAAAGTAAATTTTTTTGTGGGAGGTCTGGACCAATTAACCGGCAGTGATGGTTCTTAAGCAATTTGTACTCTGAGATACTTTGCTTTTAAAGTTCTAAGATCACTTCCAAAACTATAACCATTGTTTTGCTGAGAGAATCTACATACATTTCTTCTCTAGGCATTTGTAAGTGTCTCAATTTCTATTATACAATAAACCAACTCCTGTGTCAGGAATATAGAGTACATTGTGGAAAATAATCATCTTTCTAAACCATTCATTGTGTGAATGAAATCAATGGAAATTGACCGAAACAAATAAATTGTCCATGACAGACCATGAGGATGTTAGTAACAGAGGAAGCACTGCATGTACATCATTGGACTCAGGGGAAAAAAGAACACAAAATGAAAGGTGTAAACATCACACATTCCTAGTGTGATTCACAGACAGACAGACGGAAAGTGACAGGAAAAAAAACACACATTGTGCACGTTGTCCGAGGAATAGTGAGTGTTTGATCTGAATTATAGATACTCCTGAGTTAACAAACCACTCATCCAGCGACCATTTTTTTGTCAGGAAAATAGGAGGAGGAAGGAATATTAGGTATGTTCACCACCTTGAAATTATTTATAAAAATATAAATGCATGGGTATTTTTTAAAAAAAAACCCAAAAAATAAATGTTAATAATGTTCTCAAGGAAGTTTAATGTTACCCGTTTTTCTGAAAATAAGACTAGGTCTTATATTAAGTTTTGCTTCAAAAGACGTGTTAGGGCTTATTTTCCAGTTAGGTCTTATTTTCGGGAAAATGCGATACTAAAGGCATCCATCTGGCTGACGATCTTAACTGGGGCTTATTTTTGGGGTAGGGCTTATATTATGAGCATCCTGAAAAAATCATGCTAGAGCAGTGTTTCTCAACTTGGAAGCTTGAAGATGGGTGGACTTCAACTTTCAGAATCCCCCAGCCAGCAGTGCTGGCTGGGGGATTCTGGGAGTTGAAGTCCACCCAACTTCAAGCTTCCAAGGTTGAGAAACACTGTGCTAGAACTTATTTTTCGGTTGGGTCTTATATTCGGGAAAACACATATTTCCAATGTCTGAAAAGAGATAAGCCTCAACTAAAAAACAAAGATTCAAAAGATAAAAATATAAAGCAATCTTCCACAACATTATGAGCAATTTCACACAATGTTGCTCACAGTGACTAATCATTAAGCATGCATCTGCTAGAAGACGTGCAAATCTGGCAAGGCTGCAGTAAGCCACCATGTTGTTTTCTAAGAACACGTCTAAAGTTTATATTTATGTAGGACCCAGAAACTTTGCTGAAATAGCAAGTTTCTGAAGAGCCTGTTAGTACAGTGGACTAAAGCACTGTTATTAACATCTGCTGCTTGCAATTACTGCAAGTTCAAATCTCACCAGGCTCAAGGTTGACTCAGCCTTCCATCGTTTCAAAGGTAGGTAAAATGAGGACCCAGATTGTGGGGGCAATAAACTGACTTTGTATAAATATACAAAAGTATGAAGGCTATTGCTTAACGCGTTGTAAGCCGCCCTGAGTCTCCGGAGAAGGGCGGCATATAAATTAAAGCAAAAAAAAAAAAAAATGATACACACAGCTGAACTATAGATACTATTATATGACTGTTGGTTCTGCCTAAAGATTCAGATTTTCTGAGGTATATTATGAACGCTTAAGTTGTGCTTGAGGCTAGGGTTTACATTCACAAAATGATCCTATTCATTTTTTAATTAAAATAAATTTTTAAAAAATTAAGTGGGGGAGAGACTTAGTGAACTTTTTAAATTTCACTGGACAGTGCAAAATCCACTGACAAATTTGTGTAATCATTTAAAGATATAGGCCAGGGATGTCAAGCACAAGGCCCGTGCAGGATGCGGCCTGCAGGGCCATCCTGGAAAATGTAACAGGCCATCCCGTTTCGCTTTGGCCCGGTCTACCCGTGTCACTTCGGCCCAGTATGCCCACATCTCTTCAACCTGGTCTACCCACGTCCCTTTGACCCGGTCTACCCAATGGGAAGAAGAAACATCGGGCCAGCGTGGCTTCGGCCCAGTCTACCCAATTCGAAGAGGAAACATGCCAGAAGTTTGGGGAATGGCATCAAGCTTAAAAAGAGCCTTGGTGGCGCAGCAGACTAAAACTGCTGTTAAAGTAGCTGCCAGCTGCCTGCAATTACTGCGAATTCAATTCTCACCAGCTCAAGGTTGACTCAGCCTTCCATCCTTCCGAGGTAGGTAAAATGAGGACCCGGTTTGTGCGGGCAATAAGCTGACTTTATATAAAATAGAACACCACTTGGGGGGGGGGGGCAAAAAGCCCTACTAAGCAGGTATATACAAAAGTATGAAGGCTATTGCTTAATGCATTGTAAGCTGCCCTGAGTCTCCGGAGAAGGGCAGCATATAAATCGAACCAGTAAGTAAGTAAGTAAGTAAGTAAGTAAGTAAGTAAGTAAGTAAATAAATAAATAAATAAATAAATAAATAAATAAATAAATAAATAAAGCTGGCCACGCCCACCCAATTGGCCATGCCCACCCAGTCAGCCACACCAACCAGTTGGCCATGCCCGCCTGGTCCCCCCAAGGTCAACCACAGCCCTGATGTGACCCTTAATGAAATTGAAGAGCCTTGGTAGTACAGTGGTCTAAAGCACCCTGTTATTAAGAACAGCTGCCTACAATTACTGCAGGTTCGAATCTCGCCAAGGCTCAAGGTTGACTCAGCCTTCCACCTTTTCTAAGGTAGGTAAAATGAGGACCCAGTTTGTGGGGGCAATAAGCTGACTTTGTATAAATATACAAAAGAATGAAGGCTATTGCTTAACGCATTGTAAGCCGCCCTGAGTCTCTGGAGAAGGGCGGCATATAAATCAAATTAAAAAAAAAATGAAATTGAGTTTGACACCCCTGAGATAGGAAATCCTCATTTAGCAACCATTCAGAGTGAATGATACTAATGAAAAAATAACTTTTCAACCAAGTCTTGCATTTATGACCCTCATAGGTAGAAAGCCAAGAAAAGCTGAAATAAGTAGAGTCAAAGTTTCACTTAGTGACCGTGATGCTTAATGACTGAGTTGCTGGCCCCAAATGTTATCACCAAACAAGGACTACCTGTATTCTCCAGAAATATCAGGTGACTCAGAATTCCGGATGTAAAAGATGCTTTTGGTAACTGGCAAAAGAGAGTCCATGGGGTGAAAGGGAATTTATAAAGGCTCAGAAGAGTCATGTTTAGTCACCTGCAAAGCTTTTGCTGAGCATTTAGGAGAGAACGAGACAAATACTACTACTTGAATTACCTAAATCGTAAACATCTTGTAGTACAATAATTGAAGGACCACTGGGATAAATTCAGACTTGCTTTGGAGATGGAAAAACCCATCAGGCTCAGGAGAGTGAAAGACCCTTTTAGCCATTATGATGCGGAAGAATCAATATTTCACAAGCCATTTTATAAACAACTAGATTCAAGAGCTTTCCCTTGGCAGTTGGAGACCACACACTGCAAGAAATGTAAAAACAGAAGCCCTGGGGCTGCACGAATCCTTCAAGTCCTTCCAAACCTTTCCAAAAGATGCTTAATTGTGGTTTTAATGGGGAAAAAAAAGACATTTTAAAAACAAGGGGACTCAAAATACAAATTTTACATGTTGACTCCATTTATTCCATGCCATCTGGACCGTTTCATTTCTTTAAGGAAGACTGACTAATCCCTCTTGAATACGGATGTTTGGCTAGTTTTCTTATATCTAGCCAAAGGGGGAAGTGGGTTTGTTTGTGAGTTGCTTCCCAGGATTGGATGTTCTTTCCTAAATAGCCAGTTATGTAAAAAGGACCATGGATGTGTATTGCTCAGTGGTAAGACAGCCCCCTGTATCTGATAGAGCTTACTTTCAAGTAAATAACAGATTGGACAACATTCAACACAATACTCCTGGAAGTTCAGAAAGCCATTTTAGACCCTGCTTCTCTCATGAAGAGCTCCCTTTCCTTAGAATATTTTTTTAAAAAATGGATCAAATGCTTTGATATTGTGGCTACAATAACTGCCCAAAACAAACATAATCACCCAATTTTGGAGAGGGAGAGTATTCTCAAACACTTACCATGTAGATGGAGACAGACAATGGCATAGAGGAACCATTGCGATATTTGCATGGTTTTTGTCACAGCCAAACAAACCTTTTAGCCACAAGTGGGCTTTTAAGAAAGGATGGAAGCAAAAATAGGCTTCAAAAGACTTTTTCTACACCCACCACGTTTTTTCAAGAAAAAGGAGAAAAGATTCTTGATATTCTGCTGTATCTTGATATCCTGCTGTATTTAGCCAAGATTTAGTCAAGCACTTTGCCCTTAATGATTTAATACCTATCCTTTTCCAAGGGAATCTGGGAATTGTAGTTTAAAAGGCACAAACAGGTATTTATTAGGTAAGATTCATTGGGGAGAGAAGTCAATGAATGTATCCTTTAAAAATTGTACAAATATTTTAAATAAGGCGTTCAGAAAGAGGAAAGTTAGAAACTTCCTTTTCTTTCTTTTTTTTTCTTTCTTTCTTTCTCTTTCTTTTTTCTTTCTTTCTTTCTTTCTTTCTTTAAATTATTCTTAAGCTTGCTTTATCTTTTTTCCTTTTGTCAACATGTACAAAAAACAGTACAATGGAGAACTTATGTTAAGTGATCAGCTTAAGTTGGAAAATTTTATTATACAGCAAATACATTGACCCAAACTTTTTTTTTTAATTGTTTCATTCAATTCTGGATAAAAAAAGACTAATCTTATGCTCATTGACATTGACATCCTAAATTGTCATTAATATTGATAGTCCTTTTTTTTTAATTTTTAACACTCCAGGTGATGTAAACATTAGAACATAATAATCAGTACAGATATCATTGTACTGTAATGATATCTTCTGTATTAACATTTACAGCATCAAAAAAACCACATTCCTACT